TAGCTGTTTTAAATTATCGTATCATCGGTACTTTAAATCCACATCATCCTCTCCTAACTGTTTTTTCTATCGAACTGGTCAATTCATGAGAGATTCGTTCTGAATGCATCTTTATATATACTGACTTCTTATTTACGAAAAGATCAAGTCAATCTTATTTATCCTATGCTTTATTATGAATAATTCAATGGCAATATTTGGCCATGTTTAGCTATACAAACAAATTTGAGCGATCGATATGATCATCTTGAAAAAAGGGAATGTTTCAGCAGAGAGTGTCCTATAGAATAGACGTTTGCTGCGAAACCGAAGTTTCTAGGCTCAACCCTCAATAGGGTCGTGGATGCACACCACTGAGGATAGGACGAGACATCTGTCTAGTGCTTCCTAGTTTTCAATGGATGTCTAACTTAGGTCGGCTCGTGATACCACTAAAAATCATAAATTCATCTATTTATATTACACTATGGTTTATAAGACATAGAGATAAAAGTTTTGATTGTTTCCAGTGTATGACACTGGCTAATTTGAACAAAATGTTTTTATTTATCCCCTCGTACTAATTATTAAAATACTTTTCTCATGAATTTATCTCTGTAGATCATGAAAATGAGGTTAGTGCAAACCATTCACTCGAATATATATCCAATTATTAATTCAGACGTGTATTATTCATGTAAATCAAATGACCAGTAAAATTATTCCTTCCCATTTTAGTTCTCTGAGCTAGTCAGTCGGCGGTTTCTTTCCAGTTTCATTTATCTCCTTATGGTCGCCAAGTTTTTGGAACTAAGCCAAAACACTTTAACTCATATCCAGTTTGTTAAAGCAATCTATTAAGACTACACCTTCTTGCTTACCTGATATATTTGTGACTAAGCTGTCTCATTTTTTACCTTCTGTAAAGCTATACTGTTTGGTTATCAAATCTTTTGCAGCATACTCAAAAATAAATAAAATCCATAAAGTACTGTCGTTACGTATTGTTTTAAGTCGTCTCCGGGACAACAGCCTAAACTTAAATTTCATTTATCCTTGCATGTTTCATTGAACATTTTCCGGATAACTGTAAATTTTAAATCTATTATTTCAATAGTTGAAATCATGAGTCAATTGAAGCTAGATCACCATGGAACTCAGGACCTATCAGTCTCGCATGTGAACGCTTAACCTCTAGACCACTGAGCAGGCATCCAACGGTGTTAATGCGTTAGACATTAACACCGTTCACATGCGAGACTGACAGGTCCTGGGCTCGAATCTCGCGAGGGGCGGGATCGTGGATGCGCACTGCAGAGGAGTCCTATACTATAACTAAACGGACGTCCAGTGTTTCCAGGTTTCCCATGGTGGTCTAGTTTCAATTGACTCATGATTTCAACTACTGAAATTTCTAAAAAAAAATCTCCACAAAATTCCTGGTAAATCCATTATTGTTAAGCGTACGCTTTGAGAACTGCTCATGTGACTGTTTTTGACATTATCATGATCGAATTATGTAAACTGTAAAAGATTCCTATCTCGATTATCGTAAGAGCTTTCTCTATTAAAAAAAGTTTTTTTTTTAAAAAATTCGAAAAGATAGTGCTTAAATATTCAATCGAATATATTTTTCCTACTAATCGTTATATTTATATTCCAAACCATTATTAGTCTTATTCTGAAACTACTTACGAAGAACTATTCCAATCTAGAGTGAATAGTGTCAGTGAATGGTGCAGTCATTTATCTATAAGGTTGATAATTGTTTCCTCCTGGAGAGAATTACATCATGATCCAGTGTATCCGACTCCACCTATCGACAAGTCGTGGATAGAAAAGACACCACATCTGGTCAGTACTGTAAATGTGTTTATTTCTATGATTTGTTATCTGATATGATTTTTTAAAATCTACCTGTTATGTAGGTATTTATGCTTTAATGTGAACTTTATCGACTAATTTAACATAACGCTAGATAAATTTCTTGACAGATTCAGAGAAGTCTCAAACTACTAGGAATCATTTCTTAAGTGTTCCCTCATTTACTAGTGGACTGAATTTGGTCGCGATAGACTAGCTAATTATTAAAATGTGAAACCTCTGCTTAGTGATAAAGTTTTAGGATGGAAAAATAATAGTTTTAAACTCTATTTAATTTTTAGTCCAAATTTTTACAGTTCTATCAATTTTGTCTAACTTACCAATATGAGTGGAAGTGTAGGTTTTCACATCAATTAGTCATCTTTATCATCCTGCACATTGTTAGTTGAAACTGGATGTGTTTGACTGTGGTTTATCTATTTCCATTTTCGTCGTTCTGTATTCTTGAGAATACTGTCAATATTTTGCTTATTGCAAAAAGTATAAAATTGTCTAATTTACTCTGTTAGCTTAAAAATAATGTGTATTTCTATCGTAAATTATAATTACTAAGGTTAATATTGGCATTAATGTGAATAATACTATAAGCATTCCATTAGTCTAAATTAAATCCTCCTTGATTATTTAGTATAGTTTCTTTTTCATATTCAATATAATTTATTGTTTCTAGTCATCATCATACGAAAAAGTTCAATTCGCTCCCGATCCATGTCTTTTCCAAATTGGGGAATATGTTTTTGGTCTAACTTCGGTTGATATACTTAAAGATCTTAGTTGTGAAGAAATCAGTGCTGGGTAACCCTTGTGTTTCGTATAAAGTTTTTTTCTTCAAATCATTTGTGCTGTATTTGTTACAGAGTGTCCATAACATTTAACCACCGTACAAATTTATTACTTAGTTTTTAGTTGTTTTTTAATTGTAAAAAGTTTCAATGTAAATGTTTTTTTTATAAAGCATAAATCTAAGAGAAGATAATGTTTCAAAGGTAAAATATGACTTTTATGTTCGACTAATTTTAGCCAGTTATAAACAAAAATAATGGGGCACAAATGTGTATCTATCCAAGTCGTCACACTACATCAGCACAACTAGATGAAATCGAGAAAGTGAATATCAAATAAATCAAAGTATTAGTAGTGTACTAGATAGCAAAAAACCTAGAATGGAAAATATTACTCGTAAAACAGGTAGGAAATAGAAGTATAGGATTTACCGCATTATACTAAAACGCCTTGAAAATCAGTTTCAATGTCTGGTCCATAAGATCTCCAGCCATATATCGATTTTCAGTATAGGGTTGTAGAGATTATTGAATTGTAATTGAGATCATGAACCAATTAATGTTAGACTACTATTAAAAACCTGGAAGCACTAAATGTGTTTCGTCCTAGTATAGGGCTCCTCAGCAGCGCGCATGCGGGACCCGAACTTGGAAACTTTGGTCTCGCGCACTACTGCTTAACCTCTAGACCACTGAGCCGCGATCAGTGGAGTTCAACCGTGCCGAGTGTGAGGCAGTTATCCACCGAAGTCAATGAGAGATGGCCGCGTAATATCGTGGATTAGTTGTAGTTAGACATTAAAACCATCGGATGCCGGCTCAGTGGTTTAGAGGTCAAGTATTCACGTACGAGACTGTAGGACCTTGGTTTTGTTATATCCGAACCAAGAACAAATGTATGGTATCTTCTAAGAGTTATTATGGACTATTATTTTATACATTCTTATTGGATAATTATTAAGTATATATATTCATACGCCTTTGACCATGAGCCTTTATTGACATATTGGCTACTGAAATACGATTTATCATTCTTAACTTGTTCTCAATTTATCAGTTACAGTATCCCACACACTTAGCCACTTTTGGCTTGGTCTTATGTAATTATTGTTTTTCATTTTATGGTGTAATGCAGTCTGGTTTGCTTGTATATAAACTACGTATGTCTGAAATATAGGATTCATACAGCGGAGGTTTATGCATGTGTTCTGGACTGAATGGCCTGGGTTAGGCGAGAAATTAATATACGGCGGACCATTAACGGCTCAGAGTTGACTCAAAGCTGGTCGTGCTGGTTAATGCATCATTGGTTTCGCACAAAGATGATGTCATATAATTCGGTGTTCTGGTTGGCGATTTTGTCACGTGATATTTGACATGCCCACAGACAACAGGTTCAAGTCCTACGTGCGGAACCGCAGGTGCGCGCTGTTGAGGAGTCCTATACTAGGATGAAACGGCCATCCGGTGCTTCCAGATTTTCAGCGGTGGTCTAACATTAATTGGTTAGTGATCTCAATATGTCGATTTTGTTGAGTGGACCCCAACCTCCAAGTCTGTGCTTTACTATAGGGCTCAAACCAGCATTTATGGTTATACCTACTAAAGGTTTTCCAGTCTATGCCACTTGTCATAAGATTAGTCAGATAGTTGTTTTGTTTGTTCTGTCTGTTTTAAAACAACACAACATTTTTGTAAGAGATTAGTAGTTGTTGGACTCAGTAGTAGTAAATTCATATAACGTAAGCACCTTGACATTTTAAAGTATGAACGAATTGAGCGAAGAAATTTCTTCGCTCAATTCGTTCCTTCTTTATTTACCGAATGGCAAAATGAGAATTTTAAAGTATGTTTACTATCCTTCATTTAGACAAATACCTCACTGTTGTAGCTGTATTTGTTAGATGGTTCCTACCGAAATTTGTTATGAAAACCTTAGATTAATTTATTTTTATTAATAAATGTTAGTTTTGTCTTTTAAGAGAAACCGCGTTAAGATTTTTCCGATTCACATTTGCACAGTGACATTGATCTTGTGTGATTGATTGTTTCCGCTTTAGTTTGCTAATTTTGTCGTCAACTAAAAGCACTGTTGCTTGTTTAATCTAAAAAGTTGTTCTTTCACAGTTCTGACTTCGTTGACTATCAGGCTGTTTCCTAAACTCCTAACTTCATGTGTTCCATCTCACTAGGGATAATCGTCAAGGTATTGTGGGCCTGTTGCTCAACTTATTGATTTCAAATTTGATTACATTCGTACTAGAAGCCATATCGACCTTTTGTAATTAGAAATTACGGTAGTCGCAATCGTTTACAAGAACTTAATCAAACTCTGTAGTCGGTTTTACTTTTTTCATAATAAATGCAACTGAAAGCTGGGTATTATGTAGTCAAATTATATAATGTTTCAGACCATCTGGTTGAAATGAGCCTTAATTAAGTTTGATGACGTACGCTAACTAAACATTTTTATAGGGTAAAACGTAATAAATTGAGGAAAATATTATTAAAATTTTCATTCATTGGTGTTTATTCCAAAATTGTATACTAACTTGTTAGTGTTAAAATTACTTCACTGTTTCAAGAAATCTATTACAGCTGATACACTAGATGGAATTTCTGTTCAATTTTTTCTTGTAATTTCATAGTTGCTCGGGCAGTGATAGAATTACTCGTTTATGTCGGCATATTCTCGCCTCATCATCGTTTTACCCTGTACACCCCCCTGACGATGGTTTACCACTTGATTACCCTTTATGGAGTCAATATGCACAGTTTTCAGTCACACCACACTGTTTGATTTTACCGTCGAAATTGCGTCAATTTGTAAAGGTACGATCTCAATTACTGTTTATTTAATCATCGCTATTTCTGGTAGTTTTCAAGTTTGATGCTTAGATTGTGAACACAGTGAAAGTAAACATTGATTTATCTTCTTTTGCCTGAAGTTTCCTTCCAGCATTAAAGCATTCAGCTACCAGTCCCTGACACTTAAGTGATTTTGAGGCGATTTCGAGATATATGGCTGTAGGTACACTTCTCAACACAATCTCACTTGACAGTCGTCCATGGACTGGTTAATTGATATTTTCAGAATCAGGAACCATCGAAATGATACCAAGTGAAGTGGACTTTTTAATAACTGAAAGGTTCATGTAATAGATATATCAGCTGACACTACAGATTGAATTAGTTATTTTTCAGTAGTCACTTTCAAAATATTACCGAGTCTACCAATCAGTCCTATTCCAGCTAGTGCAGTTAGTAATTTGTGGTAAATACACTAGTTACTTGCCGTTTCGCAACATCTTATCTTAGATTCATACGAAGTCTGACGGCAGTTACATAAAAGAATATGATGGCTATAATAAAATCACATCAAAAGTATATATATATATATATATATACCCCTTCTGATAATAATCATCTCACTAGTGACTGGCTTCAAGAGGCATTTCCTGGAGTTATAGTGAGAAGCCGTTACCAGTGGAGTTCAACCAGGTCTGTTGTGAGATATAAACTCACTGTACGGTGGCGCAACTTCGTGGATTGGTTGAAGTCAGACATTAACACCGTTGGATGCCGGCTCAGTGATCTAGTGGTTAAGTACTCGCGCGGGAGACTGATAGGTCCTGGGCTCGAATCCCGCGGGGGGCGGGATCGTTGATGCGCACTCCTGAGGAGTCCTATACTATAACTAAACGGCCGTCCAATGTTTCCAGGTTTTCCATGATGGTCTAGTTTCAATTGACTCATGATTTCAATCAGTGAAAATTCTGTATACGTTTATTTCATCTAACCAATGAGTCCTGTCCATTGTAACAAACAAAGCTTTCGCTGAAGGTTTTTGATTTATTAGTTTTAATAGTAAGGAAAAGAAGTCGGTTTTTTGGTATTCCCATAATATATTATCTTGGTGACTAAATCATTTAAGTTTGGTTTTTTCCATTCCCTACTCCGTGCTGAAACATTTTTAAAATTAATTTTTAGAATGTAGATGGTGTGTTGTGCATCAATCCTGGATATGTATCAAGAGGAGAGGCTTTCGGTAGCTATGCTGAAATTGTTGTCAATGTGAATGAATTTTCAAGTTTAAATGGAAATAGCAACGAAATTAACTCAAATATACCGGATAACTTATCATCGGAACATTCTAGTTTCAGTATATGTGGTCGTACATCTGTTTCAATCAAACGCCTTTAATTCAACTTAATTTTAGAGAACATATTTCTTTTTAATGCAAACTTGGGATCTGTTCTGACTTTGTATTTTTTTATATGCTCAGTGTAAGATGGTTTCCTTAATAGAATATATTTCAGTCAGTCGTTTTACATCATCACCTCAATCGATTAAATTATCCTTATCAACTCGTTTGTAAAAAGTGTCCTGTCATTTCCATATGTTTAAGATAACTACAGATAAATCGACAGTCCTTTAAATATTTCCAGTTGTTTGAATACCCTCAAAAACAGCTCTTTATTATTTAATTTAATTCATGATGCTGACAATTTGATGTCGGATATAGGGTGATTTATTGCAACTATATGATCTGGTTTTTAAGTTAACTATAAAATCTGACTTATTTCCCTTTAGCTTTGTTTTCATAAGGAAGTTGTTAATTAGTCTCTAATATTGTTAGCTATTGCGCTAACCGATAGCACCAACAAACATTACTGTCCGTACTTGCTTTCACCAATGCTCTTATTACAGACAGTAGCATATAGCTTTTTTAAACATTTGATTCGTTCTTTCTTATTGAGTGTATTTTAGTAATATGTTATTCTTCAAAATCGTAAATACGTAGTACAGTTTAATAAATATATACGTATTGTTGGAAAATATTTTTCACTCTCCAAATAAATACTGCAATAAAGCACTATGTTTATCAGTATACAAACATATATATCAGTCAATAACGTAGAACTTCGTACGTACATACATCAGTTCGAGTTGCCATACCACATTAGCAGAGATACAATTGTCGATTCAAATCCTATAGTGGTAGAGGTAGTAAAAGTGTAAGCAGTAATCAGGAAAATTAGTGTTTGGAGATGTTATTTAAAGAGAACAATACATTCCGAGGGGGAGAATCACATCCCAAACATGATTGCCTTGTTGCTTATAATGGTCAGAAAACTCTGCATTTTATCAGCGTCTTCACCAAACAGAACTATGTCATCGGCATATTCTAAGTCAACAAGTGAATCTCCCGGTAGAAGTTCAACCCCTGTAAAGTCAGATGAGGAAAGTGTTATCTCTAAAAGTACGTCGACGACAAAAACAAGAATTGAGCGAGTGGACAGCCCTGACCAACACCACTTGAGGTAATCAATTCTGATGGTAGTTCGCCATAAGCTCTCACTCGACCAGTTGTGTTTGAGTAGAGAGAGCCTTTACAAGGTTAATGTACTTCTTTGGTACTTCTTTCAGTGACAAACACTGCCATAGAACCTCACTATCAACAGAGTCAAATGCCGCCTTAAGGTCGAGAAATACTACGATTGTGGGGTGTCTGAATGTGTGTCTATGTTCTAGAACCTGATGTAGTGTGAACATCTGGTCTATACAACCACGTCCAGGTCGAAAACCAGCCTGGTTTTCTCTAGTCTGCCCTTCGCGAGGTTTGGTTAGGCGTCGAAGTATTATTGGAGTTAATATTTTAGACACTATATTAGTCAAACTGATTCCTCTGTGACTGTCACAAGACTTTTGTCCTTTCTTATAGACTGGCACAATCAGTGATTGAGACCAGTCAGATGGGATTATGTCGAGTTTTCAAATTCTACCTAAGACTACTGTTAATCTCACTGCTAATACTGGACCACCATCCTTAAAAATCTCAGGAGTAAACCTGTCAGGGCCTGCTGCTCTCCCTCGTTTCAGATTTCCTATAGCTTTTTCAACTTCATAAAGAGTTGGAGGACTTACATTAACTTGCCATTCGGGTTGACTGGAGATCGTGGGAAACCGAAGTGTGGCTGAAGGCCAGTTGAACTGATCCCTAAAGTGTTCTGCCCATCGATCCAATCTCCTGGATTGAGAATGTATAATATGTCCATCTTTCTCTGAGATTGTTTCGCTAACAGCTGGGTTCCTAATACCGGTTTCCCTAACAAGTCTGAATAATTGTCTGCTACTACCTATCGCCACTGCCTTTTCCATCTCTCTTGCTTTCGCTACCCACCACTGTTCACGATCATCCCGTAGACTTCTTGTCTGCTTGCGCTTAAGCTGACTCCGCTCTTCATTATGTTCAGAGCCAGGTGGAATTAGTTTCCGAGCATCTATCAGTGCGATAGATGCTGCTGAGATCCAGTGTTTCTCCCTAATCTTGTGGCTTGCTGTACTAGCAGATATCACCGTTGTTTCCACAGCTTTTCGGATATCATTCCATGCTGCCTCGGGGTGAGCATCACATACATGGCTGCCTAACTGTTTTTCTAGTTCCTGAAAAATATTCTTAGTTTAGCTATCATTAAGTAGGACTAAGAGCTTTTCTTGCAGCGTCTTTCCTACGTTCGGTAAGACGCAGGCGAATACGCGCTCACAGTAGAGCATGATCTGAATCTAAGCATGTGCTCCAGAATGAACGAAGGTCTTCTACGGAGCCTCTCCATCGGTGGCTGATAGCGAAGTGGTCTATTTGGGTTCAACGTTGGGACGAATTAGGGGATCACCATGTCAAAAGATGTTTTTGCTTATGTTTAAAGTTAGTATTTGCAAGAAAGAGGCGATTATCTGAGCATAGCTGCAACAGACGGTCGCTATTATCTGTTCTTTGAGCCACAACGCCATAAGATCTACCCAGGTGTCTTTCCCTTTTGCTTGGTTTACCTACTTGAGCATCAAAGTCACCAACCACTATTACTACATCAGAGCGCCTAAAGTCTTGGAGATCAGAAAGCTTTCTGTAAAACTCATCTTTTACATCATCAGAGCTGCAGTCAGTGGGAGAATAGGCAGAGACGACCAAGAGGCAACGACGAGTGTCCCTATCTTTCCGGATTCTTACTGTTCCGTTTAGTCGGACAACGCACAAACGACTGTCTACTGGGCTTCAGTCTTAGAGAGCTAGTTCTGCCCTAGGACTCAATGTTATTCCCACACCAGCGAGGCCACGGGAAGCAGCATCAGGGCTTCCAGATATAAGAAGCGTGAATTGAGATGGTTCTTTGTTTTGATATGGTGAGGTCAAATGAATGAAGCTACTCGGATCCTGTATGCGTGTTTCGGAGACGCAGCACACATCGATGGCGCGAGATTCTAAAGTCCTAGCTAAGGAAGTCTGTTGTCCTATTTGGCACAGTGTACGGACGTTAAAAGCTCCTACGTGTGGTTTAGAGCGTGGTTTCAAGAGACCAGGAATAACGTTCCTCGTATTCGAATCGTTCGCCCTAGCGGTGCGAGGTGATAAAGGGACTTGAGAAGGGTTGGTCGTGGAGATAAGAGAGGTATTATGGGGTGTAGGAAAGATGTGAATGTGATCAACTTGGTCTCGTATCCTGTTATGGGTATGAGGGCTGATATCACTTCCCGGCTGCCCACACCGTGGAAGGGTATTTCTTGAGGAACCCGAAAAGGAAGTCGGATTGGTGTTGGTCTTAACGACCTGGGAGCGTGACCGCAGAGCCCAAAGGACAACTGATTGAGGCTGGTCACGCACAGTCTTTTTGTGAGAGTTTTCAACGTGTTAGCTACGTTCTTCAAAGGGCCTTACCGCCGGAGACGAAAGTCCGTGAGGTTAGATGGGGTATGACATTTTTAGTGTCGACCTTTACTAACCCCTTCCTTCCTTATGAGAAGGCAGAATGGCTGCAGATGCTATTTTTCCGAGGAAAAGACCTTACTGCTGTCACAGCCCTCTGCAACCAGCCGTATGACTACGCCCTCAAACCTTGAGTTGCTGCTTTTAGTTTTACTGTTCTCCGATCGACTTTCCTGGCATGGTAGAACCTACAAGAACATATGATCCAGCCAATATAGCTCGGTTGGGTCATCACGATAGGCAAGTCCGACCACCACGTCAAGGTAGCAGCTACGGTCGGGATATATAATATCGTACACTCGTTTGTCTTTTGTGTTCCAAATCTTTGTTGTACCCTGGAGTTTTTATTTCATTCGGTATCTCATATAGTCTTGACACTACGAAGTTACGTTAGTGTAAGCGTTTCTGAATCTCAAAGATTCACTTACGAAGAATGATTATAAACTCTTCTTACTTTTAATGTCTTAAACGTCCTTTATATGTAATCACTTGAACCCCAACTCAGTAAGATAAGTTGAATTAACCAGATTTATCGCCATTTGTCATCGGACGTCTATTGTCCTGATAATGTTTGATAATTTTTATACGATTGAAAACAATTAATAAGCCTGATAATAAGAAGGCGTAGTTGAAAAAAAACTGGTTAACATTTGAATTTTCATATTTAATATGATTATTTATTATTAGATACTCATAAAGGAATTAATTTATTCATAATTCTTATCATAAAGCAGTTGTAAAATTTATTAGCTAATTGTCTGGAATGGTACTTTTAGTATGTGTTGTCTCATCTATTTCCATCAAGCTTATCTCATTATCATATCTACAATTCTCAGCGGGTGTTATATATACTTCATTAAAACAACTTGTATCTTCTGGAATGCCATTTTTCGATGTGTCATTAATTGTAACATTATGAATCATTGGATTATTCACCGATATGTCTGACCATACTTGTTCTGATGGTGGTGAAGACGATATCAAAACACTGACAATTTTTACTTGTGATAATCTAGTTTCTGATTTTGGGTCTACATATCGGACATCCGATATAGGTCTTTGTTTTATTGTTGTCGTATTTGTAATCTTGTTTGCTGTTGATTGTACACTTTGTAATAATACATCATTATTATTACTGACGTCATCGTAATCTGGAGTTGTATTTTGATCATTACATAGTTTCAATTCAACAACTGTTCTACTTTTACTTGTATCAAGATTGTACCCAGCTGCTTCTGGACGTTGTACTGATGATGTAGTATTATGTGCTGCTTTACGCGAATCTTTTGAGTGATATTCCTTGTGAATTTGATTAGTTAGGTCATTGTAATCCTGATTTCTGTTATGTTTTTTATCAGAGTTTATTAACAATAAGGAATTGGATAAACTGTCAACATTCTTCTCATGAATGTTCAACTTTTTCTTTTTCCTTCCATTATTTTTATCGTCAAGAATTCTCTTTACTAATTTACTATCACTGTTACTCTTAAAAGTTAATTGGTTATGATTGGTATCATCATTATCTAAAAACCATTCATATGGTAATAAATTTGATTGTGTTTTATTTGATAAACGTTCATTGGTTATTTTACGCCATATAGATGCTGATAATGATGTAGGCTGTTGATATTTATGTTTACCTTGAGCATTTTTACGATCTCTCATTGTACATGTTATAAATGGGATTATAACAATAGCGAAACCAGTTGTAAATGCTACCAGTGTAACAATTATTGCATGTAACATATCGTATTGTTCAGCTGAATCTTCATTCAAAACTGTTTCCTTATAAGACTGATATTTATCTCCTAATACTAGTTAAATCATTAAAAAAGACAAAACATCAGTCATCTTTATAGACGCTTTTATGTTTCTAGCCATTTTGTATTTTAATTAATCATTCTGATTAAAGCCTAACAATTGGATTACTATATTCTACCTAGTTATTCTTACATAGTTTAGTGTGATTTCTTAGAAGAATCCTAAATAATAACTAGACAGATCCTCAATTTAGATTCAAATAGCACATCTTATGTAGAAGCCTACGAAAAATTGATGTATTTACGTTCATGGATGATTATGTAGATAACTAATGACTGTTCCTACAATATTTATATCAAGAGTGTTGTACAAAAAGAATGATCTAAAAATCTAATCAGTTGTCGATACTGAGATATGGAGATTTATTTGACTTTGCTTTTCACACTTTTATTCTTGCAGGCATAATTTTTACATTCAGCATTTAAAAACCAACTGGACCAACATTAGCTACTACCTTGTCCGACATCGATACAAATGAAATATCTACATTTTATAACTTCTAAGTCAAACGAATGTATCTTATTCTCTTAATATAAAATTCCATAAATAAATTACAACTTTTTATGTTAACTATGTAAGTGTCCCGACTACGACAGACAACATGAATTCACAGTCAAATAAACAACAAATTGAAATATTGACATCTAAAAATATGGCACATTGATAACAAAGGAATTTTAGTAATAAAAAAGGGATAGGGTAAATTTGTGTCTAATAGCTTTTAATAGGTTTTCCGTTCATTCATTTAGTTAACTTCTTATAGTTCAAGTTATGAGTAAATGAAACGGTCTACTTAGTTGATTAACAAACAACGCAATTAGTAAGAACAATACTACTTAAAATACCCTGATAGCAATAACATTCAATTTAAATTTACCTTCTTGAGGTGCAACAGACTTCTTAGTATCACAGCGTTCAAATTGAATCCACTCACAGTTTTCACAGCTTTTTCTTGTTCTCATTCGTATAGGATACGACATGTGCTCTACAGTTATACATTCTGACCAAATAGCCCATTCGGGCGAATCCACTAAAATTAGAGAAATAGTATGAGTAGTAAGATAATACACGTTATTTCAGTGTAGTTTTGTTTACCAATATTGGTTGTTCCAAAACTGAATGTTGATCAGGGTACTCAGTTGTTTCATTTTATTTTCAATCTGGAAATAAATATATCAGGTCCATTGCTATAATTTAACAGCTGATTTTCAGGCCCGATCTTAAGCATTGCGTTGAAATTCAACGACGAACATCTTAAAACCTTTGGATAACTTTATCAATATCTTTTGATCACGGAGTGACGTTAGCTAGATTATCAAAGAAATTAGGTGGTATTGGACCTTTAGATACGAACTGATTCTAAAGGTAAATAATTACTGGTGAAATGATATATATATATATATCGAAAAAGTTTTTGCTTACAAGGTTTTTCTATGTCAAGTTGTTCAACTTCGACTGATCGCTTCCGATATCGAACTTGATTTAGCCGTTGTTGTAAGCAATTCGTTTCACTAATTTCCAGTTCACATGGGACTGTTTGTACACTGTGTTCAAACCCACCATAACATAAGCTTGTATTATGTATCTGTGTCATTTCGCTGACAGGTGAATTAAATTCATTAATACATGTTCTAAATCGACGTTGTACTCCTCTTGGTTGAGCACAAGGTTCAGTTTTTGAACATTTACTCCATTCTGACCAACAACTCCAATAACCTGTTTGAAAATGTATCCACAATAAAACAGATAATCATAATTTTGAATTTCATACAGGATTATCCACCGAGTTTAAAACATGAGTCATTCGTTGGTTACTATATTTTGTGTCACTGGTAAACAAAAAATGAGTTAAAATACATCCAAATCCAGTCTCTGAACTTTGAAGCTAGAACTTCAGTATGAGCAACTAACAAATTGTGAACAAAAACTAGATAAATATTCTCAGTGAATATTTATTAGACATTTAATTTTAGTTGCATCTTTACGTGACGTACATTTAAATGTCATAGTTAATCGAATAGGTAACCAGAACATTCCAACCAGTCGTGAAGTGAATGCTTCAGAATTAGTATTTTGTGATTTATTTTCGATATTTACAAGTCTTTTTTGTAAACAGAAATGACTGACTTACTAGTAAATTGTGGGAAACGATTTATAAATGTGATTTTTCATAATGGGGAATCGCTTTAATTGGGGAGACATAGTATACGAAACTTACTAGTGTATCGATAGTGTAAATATCTAACTTTAATTGATGCATTGTGTTTGCATGAGTGGCTTCCTCACACTTGACACGGTTGAACCCCACTGATCACTGTTCTTCATTGGATCCCAGTTCAGTGGTTTAGAGGTTAAGTGTTCGTGTGCAAGACTGAAGGTCCTGGTTTCGATTCCCGCATTCAGGATCATAAATTGGTACTGCTGAGGAGTTGCCTAAATTTGATCCGTTCGTGATTTCAATCAACTTAATAGCCGAACACTATAAACTCAGGTCTTTCGGCCAGAAGAGACTCATCATTCCATGTCATCTACAAAGTGAACAAAAATCTGCCGCGTACAGTACACTTCTGTGGTTTTCGCATTGCTGAAACTTCCAATGAACATTCTGAAAAGCTAGAATTATGTATATAAAAGAAGTGCATTCAACTTTTCATTGCCATTGCCTCTAATTCTCAAAGATCATCACTACTCTTCTCTTAATCCATTGACCTCTTATCAGTAATTGACTTAATTCTGTTACCATGTTCTTTCTGATTGCATTTCAGTTTCAAAAGTTATCATAGCATATAACTCATTTATGTGATAAGTGATTTTTATCTAAATTCTTCGGGTTTTTTTTATTAATATTCAGAATCTTATTAACTACATATTCAACCTTTAAATATGAATAACATCCTTATCATTCCATCTATTTTTTCTCTGTCTCTTTATCTGATAAATTATTGTTATCATCAACCGTGGATATTATTATCATTGGAAAAGAATGTATATTCTTAAGACTATACAGCTGTGAAAATGACTTCATCAGGAAGAAAACTTTCCAATAAATCCTTCAGTTTTTATTTAATTTCTCAAAGAGTGTTTTCTAACTATTCAGTTTCTAGACAAATTCTTTCTGTAAATGAAAAATAGCAAACTGAATATTTCCGCCTATAACTTTACCTGTGCATGATTGCAAGTTACATAGTTCATGTTCTATCTCGTAATCATTTTTAGTAAGTTTATCCATTGTGTTACGTAATAAAAATGGTTTAATTCTTTTACGAAATCTGCTACCACCGCCACATGGTTGTGAACATTCAGTCCATGATGACCAATCATTGCTTATACTTTCTGACAAAACTGGTAGGAATTTTTCAAAATTTTCAAATGATTTATCTGTTGAGTAATACACAATAATATAAATATACCAAACTTATCATAGGTGAAAATATTTTTAATAGGTAATAAACTCGAATGACCAAATGGTTAGATATAAATGATTGTATCCTATTTACTATTAATTGATCACCGAATAATGACCAGTGTCATATATGTCAAGTCCTTCTTAGTACAGATCAAATTCCATTGATTAGGTTTCAGTGTGGCCACTAGTTTAAAAAACTTGACATTGCGTGCACTATGCTGAAATGTAAGATAATGGTTGGTGGTAAATGACAGTACCTAGGTTTCGCGAAGTTGGGCACTCGTCAGTAAGGTTTACTTGTATTCATGAGGGACTAATTAATTTACAGACAGATAAAGCCGCATAGAGTAGTCTCGTTATTCATTCGAAGGATTTAGTATGCTTATTTAAGTCGGCAAAATTTTAAACCGTGATACCCTTAATACCTGAACTATTATGGCATCTTCTTGAGCCATAATTTGAACAATTATATTTTCAGCCAAAATAGATCTCTTCACTAAATCATCTTGTTATTTTTTTTCTCAATTAGTGTTGTTGTTGCATATACTGATTAAATGATCATTTTTCAATATATCACAAAATTGACCAATTAACCTATAACTTATGGCTAGCATCCAATCATTCTAGATTTCTTGCCATGATATTGATGAAAGTTTTTTTGGATCTATTACACCAAACTAGAAATACTAAGTTGTTTTTTATAAAATATCATTCTTGCATGATTCTAAATTATTAGTTTGTCAATATCACAAAACGTTCCTCGTGTACATTTTTTTTATTCCTACCAAGTGTTTTTAAATATGCATACATACCGATATTTATCTTAAAGTAAGTTGACAGATCATATTCCCGTTTCTTTGGTTCAATTTTAATATTTCAACATATGGTAATATAAGTTTCTCTCAGTTAAATAGCTTCAGTGATCTAGTTACGTATAAGTGAATGAGGTGAGGATAAAATGATACGGCACGTATACGCATGCAGCAATACAATAAACATTACATCGAAATGAATCATTGTTCGTTAACCATACTCCATCCTAACATAAAAGTCGACTTATATGAGAGATTCTAGTTTCACTCCTTTGATTTTATGCCGAAATGTCTTTCGATGATTTTTTTATCTGCTATAATACGACTGAACAAGGTTAAAAATCCTCACCAATCACTGTTTGTCACTGATATTATCACTAAAACTGTACTAGTCATATCATTTAGCCTTGACGGAATCGATATAACTGTTTACTATCCTGTTTTCTGTCTAATCTAATGAAAATATCTTTGAAACAATCGAGTTAAATATATTTTTCCGGCTCAGGGATATGACTGACGTGGAGTACCTTTTATAAGAAAATCTAGATGTAAACAAAGTTCGTAGTCACGGACTTCACTCGATTTCTGCATTTATCCTTTTTATTATGCTGAATATTAAATGTCAATTGATCACCTGGTACGAAGTATTGGAAACTTCATTACGTAATTGAATTACTCTGATGTCATTATTTTAGGTTTACGTACTCTTTTGAAACCAGAATAATCATATTTCAAGTTCAGTAGGATGACATAATTTTGGTAGTAATAAACCACATACTAGTAGATTGATTTCAACTGAAATCCATTCACGATAATTTCACATATGAATCTATGAAGACTCGCTGAGAGATCAGTAAATAAGCTCACGCTAAGTCAAAGTGAATCTGTGAACATCGTTGGCACCCACACTCGTATCCTAGAAACTAAGCAATGATTTACACTATGCCTTTTCGCTACTGGACTCTGTGTTTTGATCTGATCTGTGATAAAATGTAATTTTAAGTGATCTCATGGAGGGCATATTTAAGGCATCAATGCTTCTACCCCACAACAGTGCATTATAAGCATTATTTTTTGCAAAAAACAAGTGTGATCGCTTTCTGTGGGTACAACCCTAACAGTAATAAAGGGAAGTTATGAAAAGGTTAGTAATTAAACTTATTTATTCCGAAATTATGACTTCCTGTCATTGCAATAATGAGCAACTATCGACATGATCACACTAAAACTGCTAGACATATACAAATTCAGTGTGCATAAAATTGTTAGAAAATGACTTTCTACAAATAATATGTACTATTTAGAAAGGTTTAACCAAACATTTAAAGTTCATACCTAGTTAAAGTATTTGCTCGAATGTCAGAAAAGTACAAAAAAATGCAGTTGTAATAGAATATTTTGCTTAAATCAATCACGTTACTTACCAAGATCTTCACAATTAATTTCATGACTATCTTTGTCGATCTTACAGATTCGAGTCTGAGTATCGATTTGAGCTTGAAAACTACCGGATTCTGGTAATTTAGCCGAACACTCTACACGATATCTCCTTTGCACGTTTTCTTTCCCATTACTCTCATCTGTTATGTACCACTCACTCCAAGTAGACAAAATTTTTGTCGCTAAATAAGTAAGTAAAATTCGCAACCGAATTAAATATTTTGATTATTCTGTTTTACAAATATACATTTTGCATAATATATCTTTCAGAAGAAAATCATCATACTTTTCCACGATTTTATAACAACTGATCAAATAGATAGGGATAGTTAAATTAGAATAAGCTTTCATCACTGACTATTATCAACTGAAGAATTATTGAAAATCATTGATCATCGAAAAAGTTCTACAAATTTTCGGTCTTAATATTAAGGGTGTGCTGGTAAAGTTCAGTCATATAGGAAGATACATAATATATTACTAAATTTCCAGAAGTAAATATAATAAAGCTCACTTGAACATGGATGAGTATTACATTTTCTGTCTTCAAAAGCTCTACCAATGCACATTAATTGATTTATATTCTCTGACTGATCTTTAAGTAATGTTTTCACTTCATCCAAAGTGAATTTTTCTGCATAATCAGTTCTTAAACCATTTTTATCTTTACAAACACGTCTACGAAATTGTTTACCACCATTACACGATGATGTGCACGAAGTCCATTGCGACCAAGATGTCCATTCGAATATCGGTGTTGTTTCACCTGACCAATGGTTTTGAAAAAAATTAAATAAAATCTAGTAATAGAATTTTGTTATCAAAATCATAACTAGGAAATGTACTACAAGGTTAAATAGTGTATACAATACTCTGGTCTGCATAAAGCGAGATTCGTTAGACTTACACGCACGTGTTTCATAGTATCATTCTGAATACATAAAGCATCAATAATACAAGTATTTAATAATGTATAATCACGATAGTATATTCATCAAAATATATTTCTCTTCATAGAATTTCCAGCTTATAAAATTCAGTCACATAGTAAACAAGTTTGAGTAGGTTTAGGCCTACGTTGAAGTTAATGAAAATCTTGAATCTATGCGAAAAGTTTAGCTCAGTGGTAGTTTGTAATCTTCTTTTTTCATTCAAAGTTTCTAAATAACAGTCGAATTGCTACATTTTTATTTTTTAAAAACTAGTGTAATAATATGATGTTTTCTAGTATATTATCATTACAATAACGTGAAACTATTTACACTATTTGTTAATAAACACATGACTGTTAAGTATTTAAGTTTATTCGTTTGAGTCTGATTTCTGAATTCTTTCGCCCATTAATCGCAGTCAGACTTAATTCGGAAGTTTTGAAATTTTATTGCCAAGAATGTGTCGATATGAAATATATGATGTATTTGTCTGAAACAACAAACTCGTCAAAAAAATTTCATATTAGCAACGAGGAAATCCATTTGAACAAAAGATTGAATCTAATAATAATTCTAAGACAATCAATTAGCCAATAGTTTGCATACATAGTTAAAGTGTATGTGACTAAAGTTTTGTTAAAACAAGTATTTGCTAAGCACTGCAAACTGCTATTTATCTAAAATAGGGGTTAAAATTAATAAAATTCATCAGTCGTGTACAGACTTGAATATGAAACCTTGAGTCATACTGTAGTTATATGAATTTTAGTGTTACTTCTTGGGTTCCATATACTGAAGTAGTTGAAGCTAGTTTCAAATCAGTGATTTAATATTTAAGAGTGTACTGCCCAACCTCTAAGCTATCGCTCCATATTATTAATTCAAATGTTAAGTAAGATAACTGCATGCATAAATTCCTGTGAGTGCTTACCATTTGTATATTTCCTGGTGTAAAATGTTTCGTAATTAAGTGGTTGAGTATGAGGAAACTTTTACTAAAATATATACTAGTTGCTTTCTCAATAATTTTTATTTCTTAACAGAATAAATTTGACGAAGTTCGGTAAATTTTAATCTTCAATAAAAAATTATTTCATTGTGAACTTATTTCACATACTTATGAATATAGTTTCAAGAATTCGCTGAATTCCTATCATTTACTTAATCAAACAAGGCGGTTGTTTTACAATCAGAGTGAAACGTTTATCTTATACAGGGTTTAGGAATTACGTAGTTCTACAATCACTTATCACCTGTATATGTATGACTGAATCAAATTTTATGGGTTTTATCTAAACTTATTATCCTCTTTTTATAATGATGAATTGGTCCATAATTTTTACTATAAACTTAAGTGAACCGAACGTTACAAATGTTATTTTTTGGCAAATTCAGGTTGAATGATTATAGCGAACGACAAACTTGACGTTATTTGAACGAATTATTGAGCCGTGGGCAAGTGCGTATCTAGAAACTCACCAGTTGCTTTAAAGTTAATTCAGTAAACCAGTTGTTTTCGGATACAATGTCGTTTGTCTCACACAATTCTAATCAAATAATATTGCAGTAACAGTAGATTTCATTATAACCAATGATAAATACTTATAGAGGATCACTATATAAATTATATATCATTATAATTGCTTACTGGAACACCTGTTAATTTCTTTAGTACAAATTTCAGTATGTTTATCAGGTCCATGACATTTATATGTATTTCCAACTGGACTAGGATTAGAACACCAACGGTATCTTGTACGTATTGGTGTTACGTTGAATTTATGATGTACAGAGTAACAAACTGGTTCACATCCAGACCATGCAGACCACCCAGTCCAACCACCACTATAAGAACAACTGCTGATTTCAACTGAAGATCCATTTGAACATTCATTTTCATTGGGTTCAGATGAAATAGGTGAGTAACAAGATCGAAAACGACAATTACATCCAGTCAATTTAAATTGTTCACTTGAATATTGTGTCAGTAATATGTTATTTTTATGTATCCCTGATGACTGTTCACAACTGTTCCATTCACTCCAGCTACCCCATTCACTCTTAATCTTCATATTTGGGATTAATTCACTTTGAACACAGGTATCTGAATGATATGTTACAATATTATTAAGTATTCCTTCTTCAGTACTTAAGTCAATACATTTTTGTTTTGCTTCACTCCATCCACAATAAGGATCTCGTAAAAGTTTACATCCTATTCTTTCATCACCAAATCGTTTGCATCTTGCAATAGGTAAACGTAGCAGACGATTTTCTATTGCTATTAAAATGTATGAGTCTTTGGATATCTAAACATTTTCAAAGTGAAAATTTAAAAAAAAATTAGCGGAAAAACATTTGTTGTCTAAATGGTAACATTATACTTATTGATTAATACTATGTGATTAACATCAGGCCCTAAAATCTAAACCCAGCAATTGTCTGACAGCAATAATGAGTTTAACTTAAATATGATCTTTTTGACCAAAATGACAAAACCCTCACCTGCTCGGAATGCCTAAAAACTATCTGGTAATTTTTATTTGGTTGAAAAATTGTAGTTATGACGAATAGACAAGTCCCCAACAACATGTAGTTAATACTAGCACGCTGACCTTATCTGTCTACCGACTGTTTACTTTTTATTTTATTTTAGTATCGCATTGTATGCACTCAATGTAATTATTGGTATGCTGTAAACAGAGCTGTTATGTCACACTTTCAGCTTATTTGGAGAATCTAAATGATCTCTTTCCAAGAACGCCCTCTTCTCTGTTATTACGATTTTAGCAGGATGTATCGGTTGAAGTGGTGTGATTACGTTTCAAAACAAACTTCGTTTAAGGCTTAATCGATTACGAATAAGACACTTCAATAACTCAGTATCAAATGGTTCGAACAACAATCAATAAATTTCTCCTATAAATAACTATTTTATATTTTATTCAAGTACCATTAGTATAATAAAAAAATTTATTTTACGAAGCCATTTTGCATCCTACTACTTGTTTTGTAAGTTAATTCTTTATTTCAATGGCTAAGATCATGAGTCAGTTGAAGCTAGACCACCATGGAAAACCTGGAAACACTGGACGGCCGTTTCGTCCTATTGTGGGATTTCTCATCAGTGCGCATCCACGACCGCGTCCTCTGAGAGATTCGAACTCAGGACCTACTGGTTTCGTGCGCGAGCACTTAACCACTAGACCACTGAGCCGGCATCCAACGGCGTTAATGTCTAACTTCAACTAATCCACGAAATTGAGCGACACATTCACCATTGTCTTCAGTGAGTTACTATCTCACAACAGACCTGGTTGGTAGGTCCTGAGTTCGAATCTCATAGGGGGCGAGGTCGTGGATGCGCACTGATGAGGAGTCCCACAATAGAACGAAACGGCCGTCCAGTGCTTCCAGGTTTTCTATGGTGGTCTAGCTTCAACTGACTCATGATCTTAACCATTGAAATTACTACAATCTCCACAAAGCCCATCTGATATTAATTCTTTATTGCTTAAAATTCTTGTTTATACTCTCAGTACAATTCAGTCAACCTGGATTGATTTTTAAAAAAAGATAGTTTAATGGCTTCAAAAATGGTATTATAATAATGGAAGTATACGTCGCCGTAAATTATTTATTTATAAGTTTGATGTATCTAAATGATCATACAATTTGGTTAAGCCCAGAAATAAAGATAATGTGAAAGTTTCTAAAACGTTATATGTAAATTTATTTTTTTAAAAATGTCTAGTTTAAACAAATTTATTGAAAGTTATCCATATGACACTTGTTACAGAAACGGTACTGTCAGTGATCTTGTTTTTTTGGAAGAGAAGGATTGACTTATGACCCTTACGATGTAAATTCCTTCATTTAATTCATTTTAATCTAACTAATAACTATGGTCAAACTATTAAATTTATATCAGTTGCTTAACATGTTATTCAATAAGTTATTCATTCAAAATATTTTTTAACATTTTCAAAGATAAGCTTATTTCGATTTCATTGGTACAATATTCAACTGTAGGGTGTATGAAAGTGAAATATTGTAATACTGACTTGGATTACTGTCAATTTTAGTTAATAAACGGAATACATCCATTAAGACATTAAATAAGATTGGTTAGGCGAAGTGTTCTCTTTTCGGCGAATTATTTTCCAAAGCTATACTATCGTAAATATACATATACTTATTTTCACAGTTTTTGAAATCATATATATATATATATATATATTTGCGATTGTACAGCTTTGAACATGAATTCGCCGAAAAGAGAACTCTTCATTGAACTAATCTATCTTATTTAATTTCAGTTAAGCTATAAAGCTTCTAAGAACATGATAAAGTGTCATTTGAATTCTATCAATATTTCACTTGAAATTAAAATATTGTTGACTGTTAACAGTTGACTGTAATTCAAATTAAATAGTATTAAAAATAAATATAGATCAACATTGGAAAGACCAATCTTTAATAAAAGTAGTCACTAATAGATGCCTGTTGGATCAGTTTAATGAAATTATTTTAGTCGTTTAAATTTACAATATTTACAAATAAAGTCAAACTATAAATGAAAATATATTCACTTTTTTATTTTGATTATTATAAATAATTTGCATTTGAACATTCTTGGTTGATAGACTTTTCGAAAATCTTGGCATTAGATAAATTAATTCTATAAGGCATAACTGGAATTCTTTTATATGCCATTTATATAATATCCCTTCAGAGTTAGTCACAAAAATGACCATATTCATATCACTTCTTAATGTTCCTGGGATTTTACTGACCACAATTTGTGTATATCTAAAAATATATATATAAATAGAATAAACATATTTATGTAAATAAAAATGATGTAACCAGAGATTTAAACACAATTAAAAAAACATTTGACTACAGAGTATTGAAAATATGTTTTACATCCGAAAACATTCAGTAGAAGAATATATTCCTTTCATGTACTCGACAGGGAACTGTAAGGTATATTACAAATAAAATAAATTTATCTGTTAGGTCAGATTGAATTGATATGATGAATCAAGTCTTGTATTCAGACTATCGGCTGCATAATCCTATATACTTATATGTAATACTTTACGAAAGGAGTAACATGGGTGAACTGTATTCACTAACCTACGTTCAGTGTTATCTAATTCACTGGAAAATAGAACAAACTACTTTAGTCATTGGAAACACTTATCAATGAATGAATTCCTCTTATGATCATATTGTTGCCTGGTCACTTTTATATTATTAAACATTCTAATCCATTTGCAGTAAATCACTCAATTTCAGTTTCTTTGTTAATCGGCGACTGTAAGTATTGTATTAGTTAAACGTTAATCAAAAAAGTAAAAAAAAACAAGTCTAGGGCATTACAGTTTGTCCAGTAGTTAAAAGTTTCACCCTGTATATATCATCTATTTATTTGGTTTTCTTTATTCAAGGTATTTATCTGTTAGTAACTGGTCTTCCATAAAACAATTATAAGTTATCACAATTGATTGATCACTGGGTGGTGATCAATGTCATGTGTGTCAAGTCCTTATTTAGTGCAGACCGAATGCTATCAACGATGTTGCAATGTGGCCACTAGTCTAGGTGACTCGACAATGCGGGCACTATATATTGATAACAGATGGTGGGTGGAGGTAGTCGACAGAAAACCCTGGACCCGGGTTTCGTGCTACTTGGCACTCGCCAGCAAGGTGTACCTGTAATATTGAGGGAACTGGTGCTCCCTGGAGGATTCGATCTCGTGTCACCCAGCTTCACAGTCAGAGACGTTACCACTGAGCTAGTAATGTTTTGAACATATTCATGACACTGATTTAAAACTAAAAGTAATGAATTACTTTCTATGTTATCAAAAGTATAGAATTAGTAAACGCTGTATTTTATAATGTAATTAAAACTTACATTTCGCCTTGCTGTACTAGAATTGGTCTGTCGTATCGTGGTCTGACAGTTTTAAACATAAGATGATAGTCATTTTTCGAATGTGGATTTGATGCAACTTTATCACACTAAATATAGTGAAGAGATAACATTATATATTACTTAACTGGTTGTATTGTAACTGTACAGCTAAAAAATTATACACATTGAATGTCATGTAAATAGCCCTTAAGATTTCTGAACTTCGCTGACTGTCTGATGATTAACGAGCCAGGATTTGAGCATTTTACGTCGTTATATTTAATATAACAATTTTTGACTGATATATGCAATACTGATAAAGTTCAATTACGGACTAAATTTAACTGGTAATCTTAAAAATTCAGTCCTTTAGTAATAAAATTTAGAGATTTAACTTGCTGTCAGTTATTGAGTGTTTACTAACCTCGCTGAATACGGAAAATCTAGATTTAGTATCAGGGTGGGGTTTGTGGAAATTTTAGTGACCTTAGTAGTTGAATTCATAAGTTTTGACCAGTGGAACCCAACCCGTGTCGGGTAGAGACAGGTATCCACCTCAGACAATGGATAAAAGCTTGCTCAAGATCATGGATCGATTGAAGTTCTACATTAACACTGTTAGATGCTGGCTCAGCAGTCTGGAAGTTAAGCGTTCGTGCATGAGACCGAAGGTCTTGGGTTTGAGTCCCACGTGCGGGATCATGTGTGAGCACTGATGATGATTTCCATACTAGGACGAGACAGGCGTCCATTTCTTCCAGGTTTTCAATGGTGGTCTAGCTTATATTGATTCACAAATTCAACTATTAAAATCTAGGATTGTTTAATTTTTGACTAAATCTGACAGACGAATGAGCGAATTGTATACGAGCTAATAAATAATCAGACTGTATGCTATTTCTGTTTAATATTCTACGATAAGAATATTAAAATCCAAATACATGATTTACTTGACAACCAATCATTTATTTGCTGAGTATTAATATAGGAGATGCTCAAAACACTCGGCCTATAAAGAATAGTGAGACTTCTTGAAAGATCAAGTTTTATAATACGTGCACCAGTAGCTTTGTCCTGAATACTTTCAACTTTAAATCACTGAATTACAAGTTCAAATTCCTTATTCAGTTTACTCGTTCAAATAGTGCAGTTGACTGTAACATAAAATATGTTACTTAAACTTCAGTACGTAAATTTGAGCTTTGTGTGTCAAGTCTTATAAAATTCAAGCATCACAGTTCAGTAACGAGATAAAGTTCACAAACACTGAAATTCCTAATGATAATAATAATTCCTATTAAAACCTGTTCCTTGAGTTGATACGGACATCTGTGCATCAAATAAATCTCTAGGAAAAAATAAAGTTTTCATACATTATAATCATTCCTAGTTGCTGTGGCAACTCCATCATTTTTATAAAATTCTCCATTAAATACTGACTCAATCTCTACCAAACTGTATTCACAGATAGCTGATGCAGTTGGCATTGATCTAGAATAGAAGAAAAAGGTGTGTAAATGAACCATGGAACACAAAGATAACAAATTGTAAGAATATAAACTATGTAATTTACATACGAAAAAGTATACTGCGTTGTATTTAAGAGATAGTACTGAATATAACTGAAGTTGATATTTACATTACTCATCTTAATAAGGTATATGGTAAATTAAATATTTCAGTTCCACGACTTATAAACACAGATGTGAACTGTATTTATAAAGCAATCACGTGGTGATTTTGGATCAAGACAGCATTACTTTAACGCCAGGATACACATATTGTACTCTTAAGATTACTGATATTTAACGATTCAACAACTTCACATTAATTCTCAACATTACTAATGGCTTTTTGTTATTTACATTAATCTAACCTTTTTGGCAGAAATGCATAAATAACAAGTCACTCTAAGCTAGATCACCATGGAAAACCTGAAATTGTCGGAAGGTCGGTTCGTGGTAATGTGGGACTCCTCAGCAGTGCGTATTCACAACCTCTCACGTGGGGCTCGAGCACAGGACTCAGTCTTGCGCACTAACGCCTAACGTGTGAACCACTGAGCCGGTATCCAACGGTGTTAATGTCCAACTTTAATCGATCAATGATCTTGAGCAACCACTCATCCATTGTCTGAGGTGTACAACTCTCGCACCCGAATTCAACTGTGAAAATACTACAATCTCCACAAATCCCTATGATTAACAATTCGAGGTAAGTGCTTTATCTTGTTTGAAATGAAAATTAACTGTATGTAAACAAATCTGTTTATTCATGTGAACAAATATACGGTAGAAAGCCCGAAAAACAACAAGATAATCGATCAGTTATGTAACTCTGAGCTCAGGTCCAATAGTTTATTCGTGTTTTTATATTATATTCAATTAGACTAAATTATCGAACTCACGATGAGGTTTGGAACGTTCCAAATAAAGTTTTAGTTGATTGATCCACATACACAGCCTGAATTTCAGTGAATACCAGACTGTTAGAACCATCTTCAGGTGTTGACAGACAAGTAATTGTTGCTTTGAGAAAATTATTGAAAACACCGAACATATTTCCATCATCTGACTAAATTATAAAATTTAAAAGTTACGGATATCTGACTACTTACTAAAATAAGAGTAGTTTACTGATCTTGGCTAACAAAAGGTATGTGAAAAACAATAATCTTAATTTGAAGAGGTTGTATTTGATACGAAGAACTCCAAGTTGAAATGTAATGCTTATCACGTGAAAGAATCTGCCAAGAACATTGTTGTATCATAGTTAATGGATCCAATTCGGATATATTTTCGCACGTGAGATACTACGTATGAGTTTAAGCACCTGAACATTATTTGGCTAACTGTTTGCTTCGAAGCGAGTCATGACTTCGGTAAGCATCCTCAAACACAAGTGTTTATGTGCTTAAAATAAGAAATGTTTCAGTCCTCTCGAAAGTGTAAACAACGTCAAAGCAATAAATTCCGGTAGTTCTGAGTGGTTATCACATTGAATATCTAACTTTTCAATGAACCTAGAGGTAAACAGCAAATAAACCCTGTTTACAGAATTATTACAATAACATTATCATGGTCATCAAACTATTAAGAATGAAATGTGTTTCTGACAATCATTTAGTGAATTTGGACAACATAAGTGAGCATATTAATCCATAACTCATAAGAGTTTCAAGACTAAATTAATGAAAATTGACCGTCGTTTACTTTTCACGTGGTCATGCATTGTCATTTTATTCTACACCTTAAAAGCATAGAGGCTATTAAAAATGCATAGGTTGATGTCCTAAAGTTCTACATATTTTTTAAATTGCTGATCGAATTTGTTTTCAAAAATATATTAATTACCTTTATCATACATATTCAGAAATGTGTCTCTCAAGTTTATGAATATTGATACTATTACTAAACATTTCATAGCACGATCGGAGTACGTAATTCAAGTTATACATCGATATCACTCATTTATAACTTTGTTTGAATCACAGTTGTTGTTACGGTTTACTCTAGTTTGCACAAAATAATCGACTTATGACAGTTTCTAAGTAATATATATATATATATATATATATATATATATATATATATATATATATATATATATATATATATATATATGAAAATGAAGACTTACACTACACAATCGACCGATTCGTGACACAACAATCTGCAGTTATACAAAAAGGTATATAGAGTTATAGATGAAAGAGCTTTGGTTAGTTAATGATTAACCAAACAAGTGTGACTTTTACTGAACAAAAATTTTTCACTTACATTTCATGTTTTCAGCTGCTATATATCATTTATCTTAGACTCATGACTTATATATTGTTATAATTTCTGTTGGTTTATAGTAAAGAACCAATCGTCTAAGTACTCTCAACTTCATTTATAATTCGTTTCCTTTACTTGTGATGGTATCTCTTACTAATTTCTTCGCGCTGTTTTTTTATTGTGTGAAATTCTCCTGAAAATCTGTTGATTGAGAATGTCTTGAATAGCCTAGAAATCTATCTCTTAATGTATTTTCATTTATTACTGTCACTGTCATATTACACTGGTATGTTATGTTTTCCTGATAAACATTAAGTATTGGAATTCAATTCCCACTCAATTATTTGAAAGGAGCACTGTATTTCTGACTGTACTGTTTATGGCATAATTTATAGGTAGGTAACTCACAGTTTCTGGTTTTTATACCTTAAGTATTTTTTCTGCGTTTTCAGAGAACTTTCATTCTCTGGTTTTAAAACTGTATATACAACTAGGTTGTTGGAATAAATTTCCTGAATGACTTAGAAAATCGAACATTTCCAGTACTACATCATAAGTAATCAAATCTTATTTACCGATAAATAATCCAGTTTTGTTCCATAAATATCAAACAGAATTATGGAATTAAACTTTTTGATTGCCAACCGGTTATTTCATATGTATTTAATACAAAATGATCTGCTTCCTAAAAGGCATTTTAATAGTCTATAAAACTATTATATATCGTTCATCACATTTTGATGCTTGAACAAATTAATGTAATTCTTATTACATATCTTTATATCTTTGAATAGAATACCTTCCATTGATTTCAAGGAAATCTTCCTATTCAGTGAAAATCTTGTATTCATTCATTTTTCTTTAAAAAAATACTTACAGATTTATCACAACTTTCAGCTGTCTCATCAGCCAGTTCTCGAAACAAAAAGTATACAGCATTGTGAAACTCGAAACTATGTACAAATATTGTATTATCTGAAAAAGATTAATAAACATTTAGTTTGGTTTACATTTTCTGTATTGTACAGCGTAAGATAATTATCAAACATCCTAATGATAACATCCTGTGAAATCTTAAATATACCAAACACTTAAGAAAGGTCTGATTCAAGTCTCAGTAATCCTGTATGTTGGAAAGATATCTGACTCCGTCAGAACGCTGATTTCTCAGAAGGTACTTTTAATTCATGAGACTAAATGTATGACGACACAACATTTTAGAAGTGGGATTGTATATTTAGAACTTGTATTATGTTCCCGACTGTTTATGATTTCATGTAGTTATTTTTTCTACATTTTTACATGTGCTTTTGTAATAAATATCAATTGACTTAACCTATTGTGTTACTGAATAAAAAAGACAGAATTCACCGAAAAAAAATTTTCTTTTCGAAGAAACCATTTACTTTAGGTGTACCTTAGTTTTTATAGTTGTATGGTAAATATATGTCTATAGAGGAGTAGAAAAGACTGCATCATAAAGTGATTCGAGACTCCGATTGCCAAGTGAGGTTATGTAATAATCAAGGGGTTAGAGAAGAATAGGAGGGTGAAAACAATGTACGGGTCGAAACCCCTCTCTGATTAGAATTATAATTGTCAAATTGACAGATATGACGCAAAACGGCAAACATAAAGGTCATAATAATAAATGATCACAGTTTAAAATTAAAAAATAATAGTCTTTTTTTTGAAAAAATCAAAAACACACAGAGGTCAGGCTTGAATTGGTAGATCGCTAATGACTCAGCAGTGAAAAAGTTTTTAATCCGACCTTCCTTCGATCCAGTCCTTTTGATCGTGTAGATTGTTTTAAGAGAAGACTCCTCCGGAGCAGCGTGTCCAGAGTTGATTAGGTTGTCCTATATTGAACTGGTAACTGTTTTGCATTCTCCTTTAAAAACCCCGCCGGGTAGTGTTCTGAGATGTGTTTAGAAAGTGATTGTTTTGTGCGATTAATTTAACCTGATGAATTCTCTTTATTTTTATTCAATAAATATGAGTTATCTGTTAAGGTGATAAGTAGAATGTTGATTTGAATATCCTTATCGCTTTCATAAAAAAAAGACCATCTAAGCATATATCTAATTTCACTTGTTTCTCATTATATTTACGATTAGAAGTATAAATATTCATTTGAAGCATTTAAACTGTTGCTGCTAAAAAAAATTTGATTACCTATATTCGAAACATATGTTAATGACGATAATAAAGACATGTAACTGTTTGTATAGAATGATAAGAATTTGTGTGCAAGTATGTGTACGAGATAGTGAAAGAGTTTTGTTGTTTAGATAAAAACATTGACAATTAACTAATAAACTATTTGAAAAATGTGTAAAATGAGGCTGACAGTAGCAACTGTGAAAGTAGTAATTGCTACATATTTTAAAATGACAACAGCGTACAAAACATTGATTTGTTTCAATCACTGACTTAATAATTATCTTCAAACTGCGAAGCATTTAAAAAGGATTAAACAACTAGGTATAGACCTATTATGTTATACTTTGATCAGTATGTATGATACACTTACTATTTTTTATATACAAAAGAGCAATTTCAGTTTATATGATTCCAATTCAGGTTATTAGTGATTAACTATTTATAACTTGGGAGACTACCTGAAAACTTGTCACTTCCTTATATAAACTATACAATTACTTCACAATTGTTCATGCTCTAAGTAAATACATAATGAACTCAAGTATCTGAGATTTATCTAGTAAGTTGTTTTACTCTTCTAGTTCCTAAAGACCAATTCTTGATTCCATGAATGGATACCTTTTGCTGCCATCTCATACGAAGTTAGTACATCAAATTAAACTGTTAATTTAATGTGCTACATAAACGTTTTATACAGATTTAAATGAACAACTTACATATAGATGCAAACAGATTTACTGTTCTTGAATTTGGACAATTATGGCTAAGGTGTACCACTTATTTCATGAAAGATCAATACGGAAGTTGGTCATAATATACTTGATCTAATATTTAGTACAGATATCATCCCACTGTCTGTACAGGTATACAATGCATTTGAAAGCAGTGACCATAAAATGATATTTTATGCTCTCCCTAACCGTCCCTCTTATAACCAACCCATACAACAAAACCTGTCAATATATAGACTATAAGCATGCTGACTGGGACCTCCTGGATTCACTGATTAAAATTTCGAACTGAGATGCCATTGAAACATTCTATCCAATCGTTAAATCTTGTTTAAATTCCTGTGTACCTCTTAAAATGTACAGGTTCAGTAAACCTTACGAATTGTATATACCAACTAAATATCGTAATAAACTAAAACGCCAACAGAATCGTTATTTTAAGTCAAACGACTTCACGGTAGTTGCACAAATAACAATAATTTTAAATCAAATTAAAGAGAAACATAGATTAAAAGCCATTAATGAGGAGATACTAGCACTTAATACTAACTCAAAGGTACAAAACTTAACTCTCCTTTTCAATAAACGCGCTAAAGCAACTCAAAATGTTGATATACTATGCATCCTGTATAGCGACACTTTTATATGCAACTCTAAAAATATAGCAGACCTTTACAGTGGTATTTTTGCGAATGGTGTAGAAATAATAAGTGGTTCTGCTTCCAGAGTTTTGTGCGTGATTAAAAACTCAATAAGATCTATCTCCTTCACATGCATGAAAATTACTAAGGCTATTAATACCCTTAAGCTTTCGTGAGGTCATGTAGCGGACGGGACTGCATCCTTTCTCTACAACTATGGTGGTCCAGATATTCCACTTCTTCTTCTAAATCTGTTTACTCTATCTATGGAAACAGGTTCTCACCCTTACTGTTGGAAAACCGCGTAAATCATACCACGTTACAAATCTTGAGATAAGATTGAGATGAACAATTATCGGCCCATAAATATTACGCCAGTTAACCCTAGGATTATGAAAAAAATTATAAGTGATGAACTTTCCAACTATTTACTCGCTGGAAAATTTATCAATGATACTCAACATGGATTTCTTAAAAATCGATCTTGCATGATATATCATTTTGACTTCTTTAATTTAATCTATTTTCTACGTAGCCAAGGATATCTAGTCTTAGTGCTATATCTGGACATTTCTAAAACCTTCGACATGGTTAGCCAACAACTTCTTGTAGGTAGACTCGCATCTTATGGGGTTCAAAATCCTTTGCTAGCTTGGTTTGATTCCTTTCTCAACAATCGACATCAAATAGATAAAATTAACTCTTCATTGTCTAACGCTGTCCCTGTTAGAATCGGTGTGATACAAGGTAATGTCTTAGGCCTTTTGCTCTTTTTGGTGTTTATCAATGATATTTGTGAAAGTTTTTGTGTGGATAAGCCCCTTCTGTATGATGATATTGAAGTAGTATATTCATTTTCTCCACATGAGCTGAAAAATATGCAAAATTGCATCAGCATGGAGCTTAACAAGGTAGCACAGTGGTGCTTAAAATGGCAAATGGATGTTAATACTGCTAAATGTGGATGGATATGTTTCGGCAATACATCGCTCAACCTAGACCTTACCATAAATGGATAAGAGTTATCTAGGTTACATACAGTAGTAGACTTAGGACTTAGATACTCCCAAGACTTGTCGTTTACAGAACAGATATTGAAACAGACCTCCAAGTCTCAACGTCTAGTAGGTTACATAACTCGAAACCTTTATAACAATGAGTCACGTAGTTTAATGTACAAAGTTTGTGTTCGACCACTTCTAGAATATTGCACGTTTATTCTCAGCAGTGCGTGCATAAAGGATAAGTTAAGGCTGGAATCAGTATAGAGATGATTTACACCTTGGATTCTTGGAACTGATTGTACCGTGAATTATAAGTTCAGATGTAATAAACTTGGACCCGACCCCTTTATGGAAGGGGAGACTCAAACTAAATATAATCATTTCCTTCAAAGTACTTAATAAACTATCCTTTACATCCAGTCAAGTAATTCAGTATGCAAAAACTTCTAAATACGACATCCATAACTCCTTGTCACTATTGAAACAAACCCATTCTAAATCATCTCTTTATATGAATTACTTTGCCAGCAAATTTTCAATACTGTGGAATAATCTACTACAATCCATCCGTAAGATAAAATCCCTCCCATCTTTTATTCGCTGCATTGAAGCTTACTGCTCTTCTGAAAATTTATTAAATGTTCTAGCACCTGTAAGTGTATCTTATTCCATAAGTGAGATTATAGGAACTCTAAATGTTTAGCCATTCTTATTACTGAAATCGTTAAGTAAAACCACCTACCCGCTGTTACTTTACATTAACAACGATCCTAAGAACCCTAACTAATTTAAATATCTAACGTGAACAGTATAACATTGAATCACATGACACATGCATTTTGGTAGACCTGACTGTCATATTTTGGTAATTATTGCTTTTAGCTCAGTGCTCTCTGTTTCTATTTTATTTTCTCCAGTTATAGATGCTTATAATTAATTCGTTACGGTGCAGGAAATGACGTTAAATACACGGTTCATAAATCTATAGGATGTCCACTAAGAAGAATTAAAAGTTCCCGTCCGATGCTTTTCATTGCTGTGATACATGTCATAAATGTACTACCTAAACAATTTTTGAACTAATAAACTTAAAACAATCTTATAGCATATGCCTGTTCTCTACATTTAGTGTTACTATTTATATCAAGCTGATCATGCCTGTGAAGAGGGATAAATCCAACCATGATTCTGACTGTAACAGCATATCAAAATAATATTCTTGTGTAAACAACATCGATAATCCATTATCCATTAAAGTAACTTGATCAACTTACTATTTTGTTTTATCATTCTGTCATCAGGTGATGTGCGAATAGGATATTTGAATGGTTGGATTGAATTCAAATTTTCTACAGAATTTATTTTCATAATACGCATTTCAGCGTTTTTAAATGATCCTATTTTGGTACCTATGTACAAATTTTGTGTACTTGCGATAAAACCAACAGCTGGTCGGTCAGGATCTATTGGACAATGATCTACACTTTTCCAGTGTATTTTCGATGGAGCACGTAAATTGTTAGCCTACAAAAGATAAAGATATGTTAAAATTACATTTTATACCACCAAATATAACAGACTGTTACTCAATCAGTTACTTGTGAATATAAAAACAGAGTCCTGTTTCAAGTTGGCTTAAGTTCTAACCAAAAGTATTTCACTTTGCATAATGAGTTAATATAATACTAAAAACATATACAGATACATAGAGGATAATTGCGTTAAACAGTGTTGCTTTATTATAAGACTAAATCAATTTGAATATTAAAAAATCATTCTTCATAAATTTACATTTGAGTTTATCAGCTGTATTCCAAGGTAATTTAAGTTTTATAAATAATCAAAAGAGAGATTATCCTAACAGAAATATAAAGTAATGAATACTGACAATCATTACTGATATTCAAATAACCTGATTCATCAACAATTGTCTAATAAAAGTTCACTACTTATTGTTTTGTTTGAGATCGTACTGTTGATTAGCTTTAGTAAAGACGTCAGGTATTTTTTTAGTCAAAAGTTATCATGGTTACTTCTTGTTCTTTCTTAAAGTTTACACTCAGTATTAATGAGTTTAGATTAGATCATATTGATAAAATGAAAAAAAAACATATTGCTCTTTATTTTTACTGACAGATTAATCCATTGATGATTGAATGCGGGTTTATTTATATATGGTATTTGAGTAAATTAGAAACAAAATAGAATGTAAGGTATGTATATTTGATATTCATTGATGACAGTCTGACAAAATTCCCAGTTGAACTAATAAATAATAAACTATTTTTAACCGTAAGTAAAATAATTCACACCATTGACCACCTTATAAAATATCGAACTAAATATTTTATGTAAACGGTACGTTATTCAATTTAAGTATTTAATTAAGTATACACACAATCAAACAAAAAACAATTCTGTATTAATTTCAATGGTTAAGATCATGAGTCAGTTGAAGCTAGACCACCATGGAAAACCTGGAAGCACTGGACGAACGTTTCGTCCTATTGTGGGACTCCTCAGCAGTGCGCATCCACGACCTCGCCCCCTGCGACACTCGAACCCAGGACCTACTGGTTTCGCGCCCGAGCACTTAACCACTAGACCACTGTATTAAACAATTTACACTATGGTAACAAAAAGTCTATCAATGATGATTTCATATTTTAAGAGCTTGATAAAGTAAACAATGTTAACTAAATAGAAGGGTAAAACGATGATTATTCACTTTTTTGAACAAGACTTTATCTTCCAACTTGTAAATACCATATCATGATTATTTCTCAACGTTAAGCATACAAGTTTACTTCAACTGTAGTTTATGTTTCAGCCTGCAAACTCCTTTTTTTAAAAAAAGATTTAATTATACATGTTCAGTGGTTTATCGGGTCTCATTACACTATCACTGAGGGATCCTGATTATGTTATTATTCATAAATTTGATTATATTATTTAAATTAATCCAGTTAAACAAAAAAATTTAATTGAGCTAGAAAAGAACCGTAATTTGGTAATAATTTTGTATAATTTATGATCTATAAGATAATTCTATGCTGTGTCAATTTGTAACCGACCATACATTCAATTTACAAGCAGAAGATACTTCAAACATTCCATGAATAAATGTGAAAAATCAATCTTGCACAATTTGTCATTCATAAGAACATAGATGTTTTTAACAGTATGTGTATTTACTGAATAAATTCATAATGCTTACATTATTCAAATCTCAATAACCATTATAATTATCACTGGAAGTCATCAAAATTATAATTTACCTGCTTATATTGATATAAGATTTATGTAGTAGGACAATATGTAAAAAACTAACCTGACGAAGTGAACATTCAGCTATTAATCCATTGGATAAACATACATAAACTCCAGCTCGATGTAAAGGTGAATCATTTAGTCCAGGAAATATTTTATCTACAACTTTTAGCAAAGTCACAGCATATTGATTACATGGGATCTATAATGAATTCAATAAAATTATTGTAGAAGTATTTACATTTCAAGTGATTATTTATGACAAAGAAATTTTAAATGAAATATCATGGGAAGAAATTATATCTGAAAAGAACTTTTCTCTACCTTCAGTTTGAATTACATATAATCCTGTTGCTGTTAAATGGATTAATTTACCATGAGGTTGAAATATAAATTATTTAGTTGGAAAAATATACACTTTGTAGTCATTATTTACTAGTATTAAATGACTTTCAAATAATATGGACTAAAAGTTATCTTCGATTATTTCAAATAAGATCTTCTTGGTTTTCATGACTGACTTGATATTGTAGATTACATTTTTAATGTTTGATCTACGATAAGTGGTTTAAAATCATCGCGTTCTGAATTCGATTTATACAAAAGACCGTGTAACTTGATTTTCTATTTCTGAAGACTGAATGGTAAGATTTTTCTGTAATCTGAAGAAAATATTCGTTTATTCACTGTGCTTCATAGTCAGACATTTTCCTACCATGTCCCACTTCTCAAACAATATACACCATACAATCCTACAGTTCCTTCAATAAATAAATATTTTACTGCTGCTATGAGCTACACTGAATTGACAAGTACATTAAATATGAGTTTTACTACAGCTATACATTTAACTTGATTATGAATATCAATATTCATGAAACTTGAGTCCATGGCTCGTTGCAGTTTAATGTTTATTATTAAGTAGTGAGTTAACATTATATTATAAATGATTCGTCAACAATGAATTATAAGTTGACTTTAGAATCATTACTAATAGTCTAGCAGTCACTGTGATTTTGAGATTAATGAAATACCACATAGTAAAAGGCGAAAAATTGAGCATCGTTGTGTAATTATTTAGTTTATCAAGTGCCTATTAAGTGACGTTTATATGTTAGACGTTAAAGCTATATAATTATTAAAGAATTTATAGCTTAAATAATTGCTATTCATGAATACATACTATTTTCGAATAAGAAATAATTCTTACTGTATTGGATCATTAACCCCATACTATATGCTTCTAGCTTTGATTTTAAGATTGTCCTAATCTGATTTCGTTATTAAATGCAAATGCATAAGGTTGGCCCATCTTTCCTTTTGTTCGTGTCTTTTCTATCTGTACTTATTCACGCTTCTCTAATTGTTCCCCTGATACACAAAGTACCTTTTGACTAGATGTGAACCGCTACGCATAAAAACTGTCTGATATCCTTAACTTTTTTTCATTACAACCTATGATATTTAAAATCATAATTACATAATGGGTTTAAATTACTCACATGAAATGGTTTAGCTGGAAGTCATATTGAAGACAAATTAGTATAGTATACAATGGGTGTAAATAAATTTAATAGACTGAATATAGTAAATATATACTTTATGTGAAAGAAAATTCTACAACATTGTTTGTAACAACAGTTCAAACGGCCAGAAACAAGTGATTACACATTGAGTAAACGCTGATGGTAATAAAATGAGTAGAGCTCAGTTAATAAAATAAGATTACTAATCTGGAAGATAACTGAAATAAAACTCAATGATGTAATAAATGCAAGAAAGAGTAAAAACGTTTAAGATGTAACGAAGGGATATTTGTCACCAGGGCAAGGCAAGATTAATAACCATCTCATTTTGAATTATTATTATTTTCTAAACAGAATACTTATCACCCAAAATAATTATTCATCATTTTGTAATTCATATTACTTTTTTAGATGAGATCATTTTATTAAGAAAACTATTTCTCAGGGATATAGATTTCTTCTATTTAAAAATAGTATATACAGTATACAGATCAAAGAATGTATGTTTTGTTCAATGTACAAAGGTATTTCTTAACAAATAAATATGAATAAGCACTACAAATTCAAATATCCACGTACTCTTTTGTGTATAACATTATTTCGATAGTGTAAAAGATTATTAGAACTATGTGATACATTAGCGCAATACATTTCGAACAATCTAATCACACATAATGTGCTTGTTAAGAACATTTATATATAAAAATAAAAGGTCAAATTGACCAGAAATGGAGGAGACAAGGATAATAAGGAAAATAATGTGAAAACAATTTGAACATGTGAACATGTACTTAAATAGTACTTATATAGCATCAAATAGTTCAATAAGAGTGGAAGATAAACATCCAAACACATAATTAAAACAGGTCATAAGATTGATCTTAACTCGACTTTTGTGGTATTGTACAAAAGTGTGAAAGGGTGTATACTAAGATTTATTGAAGCCTTAATCCCTCCGTTTGTTTATTCGAAAACAGTTTGCTCTCCCCTTAAACCTACCCTGTTAATATTAGCTTATTAATCAGAGTGATGAAGTTTCAGATTGTTTTCATATAATTTCTTTATCATCCTTACCCCCTATTTCTGGTCAACTTGACCTTTTATTTTTATATATAAATGGTCTTAACAAGTACATTATGTGTGATTAGATCGTTCGAAATGTATTGCGCTAATATATCGCATAGTTCTGATAATCTTCGTCTTCTTATTAGACCATCGAAGTATAACATTATTGTTACAATAAGCAGAAATAATAATAACAGCTATTCAAAATAATATGAATTTAAATATATTTACAAAAATATATTTCCATTAAGAGTTAAGTAAACTTTACTAGTAAATGTCATTATTAACAGAATTTTAGTTGAGATGCTTTTATTAACTTCGTGAAAGTACCTTGCAGTTAATCAGAAGTAAATACTATTTATAAAGCCCCTGTCATATTAAAATACCCATATTTATGAACAACAAAAAATTCTCTCCAGGTTCTGCAATTAAATATCCAAATTAAAAAGTGTGACCACTTTTTAGATTATAAATTTTAATCTGTAACTATAGAACCTGAAAACAGATTGAAAGGAATATTCTTCATCTATAAGAGAATACATTGAAATAAGTATGACATTGCCAATTTACATATCAAGACAATATATATTATATCTAATTACAGCGAATAGTTGCATAGAAATATGTCACTTACTTTTCTATTAGAATCTTGTTCAGAACAGGTTGATATATCTTGACTAGACAATGACCAACTAGCTTCATCTTTTTTTATGAAGGTTTCTGCAGAAACTCTTATAATTGAATTACTGTCAAATAAGAAATTATAGATTAGAATAATGAATAAATAGTCAAATTTCCACAGTAATTATTTCAAAATTGTAATTTGTTTCTATTGACAACAAAATATGTACGAATTTTGATAATTTAAGTGTATTTTACAGAAAAGAACTCCGATGAAATATATTCAGTTAATTATTCGCGTTTATTTCTGAAATTAATTGTCTTCTTCATTAAGCATTTTGCTAATCTCAGTGTAACACGTTCGTGACTTAAAATCAGATTATCATGAGATTGAAAGACTATAAAATACCACTGATGGCATAATAAGCTTCAATAGATTACATCTGATATCATTTTCCACAATATAAAAGTTACAAAGTATGCAAACTCACTTTACTGCAATAAACAAACTGTTTGACGATGAATGAACAGATATTTGAACTATACGACTCTTCTTTGGGAAAGTAAAACTCTTATGTGTTGACATCCATTTAGGATGAGAAATGAAATCTGTAGGATAAAACCAAAATATAGCTATGTAGATAAGTATGGAATTTCTGTGGTAAATGAAAAAAGCACAAAATACATCCGAAAACAGTTTTGATGATACATCAAAATTAGTCAAGTAGATATTTGAATCACAGAGAAAACTGTATTGCATAAAAAGTGCAGTATTACACACGCTTATTATCCATAAAGTTACAAATGGGGGTGATTTTAAATACCTGGTAAACGATCGTTTCATAGTCTTGGAATTGATTTTCGTTACTTTAAAGTATAAATTATTAAGCATATATATTTTAGTTGATCACTGATGGTCATTGATATGTTGATTAGTCAGTCAATCATATTTCATGTGAAACTTGATAACCTGGACCAATTCCCATATTCTAATGATTAGAAATTCATAAGAGAACAAGCAAATGTTCAAGAATGAGAGTTATTGAATCAGAGTCAGTGAATACTGTACAAATTACATCTTGTAAACCTAAGATTAATATATGAGAGACATCCGTTATTGATTAATTTCTGTAAGGCTTTTGTTCATTTATGATTTATAATTAAGTAAATTTGTAAAGAAATCGATTGCATTGTCTTTGCATGTTTAAGTACATGAAGAATAAATCATCTCATTTTACAAATACTACTTCAACTTTTCCTGTTAGTTTAGATTAGCTAAGCTTTTGTCACCTGCTAGTATTATCTCCTCAAAGTTTTCACAATTTTATCTTAGGAAAAAAATATGCACAATCGACTTTGCAAATATTTGAGTTGGTGTAGATTAGTAAACATATTGAAGTAAATATTTCAAATATGTACAACCTTGGTAGTATTTACTCAACAAATTCTTACAAAATAGTGTCGCTTTTTCTGAAATTCATTTACCGTGTATTTATAAATGTTGTGTTAACGTTTCATTGAACCTGAACAGTTCATTAAATTGTTACCATCTGATACAATCTTAAATACTTCTTATTTCTAAAATATACAAATCAGAATAAAATATTTGAATTGTGGATTGGTTAAAGTTAGACATTAACACAGTTAGATGCTGGCTAAGTAGTTTGAACCTTAGGCGTTCGTGTGTGAGGTCGTGGGTTTAGGTTTCTCGTATGGGATCGTGGGTGCACACTGCTGAGGGGTCCCATACTAGAACGAAACAGCCATCCTATGCTTCCAGATATTCAATGGTGATCTAACTTAGATCAACTCATGAATTCAATGATTAAATAAAATATTTCTTAAAAATATCCATTTGATATGTATCGTATAGTTTATTATTAAAAAGTTATTTTATTGATAATACTGAACATTGTTAAGTGTAACAAATTAATTATACATAAAGAAGAAAAAGAAGAATAAAAATAATGGTGATTTACAACATAAACAAATCGAATGATTGTTTTACACTAATGACTTTATATCGATAATTATGGTGATCACCATACTTATAAATCAATATTCTATTCGCCTTTCATGCGTACACATAGACACTAACACGTATACAAACAAAAATTTACACAGTTAAAATATGAGTTTGGAATTTACGTTTTGTTTATTGATTTATTATATTAATATTATTATACAGATTACTAATATAGTTTTTTTAAAGCATTATTACAGCATTCAATGTAGAATACGATTAGTAATAGTGTAAAACACAAACAGAAACAAAACAAACAAACAAACATTCTTAGTGATAATTAAACAATTATTGCTTAAACTATTGAATAACATCAGTCACTACTTGATAATTGTGGATTACTATCCCAGTTGTAAGTGATTATTTATTCACAATGCAAATTTAATATAAGATTGTTTTAAAAAATTTCGTTTATTGCACTTCAGGAGCATTTACTTATGACATATTATCGATTCATCTGTATTAATCTAATTGTTAGAGACTAAAACTGACTTCAAAAGGGTAAGGTATATTACTCTGACTAACTTTTTTATAATGTTGACTAATTCTTGATACAATATTATTTACCGCTGAATTGGTTAAATACTCTTATTATTAAGATGGTGAGGATTTGTAGCTCAAGTGGATGATTTTAGTGGAGTTTTATTCTTTAAGTTAGATGATTTAATCATGTTAGCATTGTGTATTGCTGAAGCAAGCTAAAGATAACGAATTTTCATTTAAAAGTCATTGAAATATTAAGGGAGAAACTCCTAATTAACAATAAATAGCTTTATAGAATTAGGTAGTTACGATTATCTAACCTATATAATCTTGTGATGAAATCTAATTTCCCAAATCCTTGTAAGAAATGTAAAATAACAATCGATCACAGTAATTGAGTATTATTATTATTATATCCCATAGGGCTATGTAAGAATAACCAAACTCAATTACAGTGAGAAGTAGTGACCAATGGAGTTCAACTAGGTCTGTTGTGAGATAGTAACTCACTGAAGACAGTGGTGGATGTGTCGCTCAGTTTCGGGGATTAGTTGAAGTTAGACATCAACACCGTTAGATGCCGGCTCAGTGGTTTAGTGGTTAAGTGCTAGCGCGCGAAACCAGTAGGTCCTGAGTCCGAATCACGCAGGGGGCGAGGTCATGGATCCGCATTGCTGAGGAGTCCCACAATAGGACGAAACGGCCGTCCAGTGCTTCCAGGTTCTCTATGGTGGTCTAGCTTCAACTGACTGGTGATCTTAACCATTGAATTTTTTATGATATCCACAAAACCCATCTGATATTGATTCCTATTTGTTGTACTTTCTTCAAATGGTAACTAAAACTAGTTAGCTTCATGAAGTTCTGACACGCTCTACAAAGTTACAGCAGTAAATAATTATTAAATTGAAATGAAAAGATTTAATGTATCAAGTTACTTATGGAAAAAGATTGAAATTAAAATATATTCAAAGATGAAAATGAATAAAGTAGCAATTCTCAAACTAATAAATGACATAGTGTTTTTATAATGAAATCAAAATACAAGAAGAAGAGTGAATGAAATATATAAATAAATAAAAAGATAATAAAGTGCAAAATCTTGACTTCTAGTTTAATTGGAAATATATGAATGTTTCATTAAGTTTGAACCAAGTTATACAATGTATATCTGAGGCCAAACATTAGTAACAACAATTTCTACACAAACGTTACATTTTGAAACAACTTTTAACACATCAAAAAGTTACATTACAATAGTTTGTAGAAACTTGGTTTATTTCTATTGTAGGATAATTAAACCATAGAATCAGTATGAATTAGGTTAACAGAGTTCGGTTTGTAATTGTCATTATTAGTGCCTCAATGAAATAATTCAATGGTGGAGAAGATTTGTAGCTCAGGTGGATGATTTTGGTGGTGTTTTGTTCTCTGAGCTGGATAGTTTGGTCGTGGAGCTTTCATCGTTCTTCTGAACGACATCATCAGCACAAACTTCAGATAGAAGTCGTTCAGAAGAACGATGAAAGCTCCACGACCAAACCATCCAGCTCAGAGAACAAAACACCACCAAAATAATTCAATGTTTTCCGTATTTTATCATTTCTGGAGTCAGCCAACAATTCTTCCCCCCCCCCAAAACTCAGGAGATTGAGTACCTGAAATTGTAAACGTATTTAGCAACCGTTTTTATTTGTCATTTCTAATATTTCCAGAAAAGTTAAATTACTTCTTAGATATCTGTTTTACCATCTTTTATGGAGGATCATAGTAACTAGAAAAATGTTTCCAATTATCACAATTAAAAATTTTCATTTATTCATGAATTATTTTCAAGTAAGTTATGATTCAATATTCTGAAAATTTAAATGGTAATATGAACTGTAGTTTTAGAAGTAGTCAGGCATAATTTTTTCACTCCCATCAACTTATTAGCTGAAAACCAATTCTGGAAAGTTCATAAACCTTATGATGAGATCAAAAGACAATTCTACTGAGGATGCTTAGGTTCTAAAAAAAACGTATAATGTTTTTAGATTTCTCATAGTTTCCTAGGAGATACTCATTCAATATTACTAACGGGATATTGACAGACCAAACAACTCGAAGTGGTCACGGCTCATCATTGGGCAATATGATGTCACAGTATATTATTCTTTGAAAATAAAGGAGTTAAGATAACTACAAATCTGTAAGATGATTTCAGAGATAAAACATGTTTGGAATATGATAAAGTGGAATTTTCCTACCACTTGGAATTTCAGTTTAAAAGACATCAGTCGATGTGTGAAAGGGAAATTATCAGGCACAAATAGTGATAAATAAGGAAATATTTGGCTGAACAAGAGATTTAACATCAATATTATAAAAAGTCGAGTATATTATCTCTGTACACAGAACTCAGTGATCAACTGGTAGCATATTGTTTACTCACAAATTCAATAAATGTATTGCTTATAAACATTTTAATTTGATCTCTATAGATAAACATTGAGATCGTAAATTAATCAATGTTAAACCACCACTTAAAAACTAGAAACAATGGACGGCCATCTTGTCCTACTATGAGACTTCGCAACAGATCAATGACATTTGATATGGTTTTTATTATAGAATCTTTAACAGTGCAAACGTTGTGCTATCCTAACAGGATTTTCAGGTGACTTTCACATCTAAAATTAAGGTTGATAGTTTGACGAAAACTGATTAGGCCTTCATTTTTTTGTAAAATATAACTAGTTACTATTTCATAAACCAGTCATTTTTCATCTTTTTGTTTTAATAATAAACATAAGACGCTAAATTAAAGATCAAAAATTATTTTCATATCTCATTCAAGAAAAATATACATATAGATGTTTTGTAAACTATAGTCAGTACCTCATGAATTGAATTGGATTTCGCCTGTTACTCCTAATGGAGCATAGGCCGCCGACCAGCATTCTCCAACCCACTGGGCCTTCTTTTCTAGTTCTATCCAATTCTTGTTCATTTCTCTCATGTCTGTCTCCATTTCTCGGCGTAATGTTTTCTTCGGTCTTCTCCTCCGTTGGCCTTGAGGATTCCAAGTGAGAGCTTGCCTTGTGACGCAGTTGGGTGCTTTCCTCAATATGCGTCCTATCCACTTCCAGTGCTTCTTCCTGATTTCTTCCTCCTCTTGGATCTGGTTTGTTCTCTCTCACAGTAGGTTGTTGCTGATAATGTCTGGCCAACGAATCCGAAGTATTTTGCGTAGAAAGCTGTTCCCAAACACTTGTATCTTCTGGATGATGGCTTTCGTAGTTCTCCAGGTTTCTGCCCCATACAGTAGAATTGTCTTGACATTTGTATTGAAAATTCTGACCTTGGTGTTGGTTGATAGTTGTTTTGAGTTCTAGATCTTCTTCAGTTGTAAATATGCTGCTCTTTCTTTGCCGATCCACGCCTTCACATCTGCATCAGATCCACCGTATTCATCAATGATGCTGCCCAAATATGTAAAGGCTTTTACATCTTCCAAATCTTCTCCGTCAATTGTGATTGGGTTGGTGCATGCTGTGTTGCATCGGAGAACCTTGCAGTACTTCGTACTTCGATAAAAATTTGATCTTAGATTACTAATAGTGTCTTTCATAAAACTTGTCGAATCTATGATATTTTTCCACAATTAGAATAATCAATATTTTCAACAGACTTAACAAGTATCTAAGATTTAATCGAAATTGAATTATGGAACAGTTTTTTTAATTTATTTCGATTACATACATTTTTTTAAAAATATTGATAAGTGAAAATTTTAAATGTATAAAATCAATTCACTTAAATGATTAGTGGTATTTTAGTGAAGATCGAATGAACGTATATATATCAGTATAGGGATTGTGGAGATTATTAAGTTTTTGATTGAGATCATGAAACAATTGATGTTAGACCACCATTGTAAACCTGGAAGCACTGGATGGCCGTTTCATCTTATTGTGAGACTCCTCAGCAGTGCGCATCCACGAGTCCGCTAGTGGGGAACAAACCCAGGGCCTTCGGTCTCGCACTCAAACACTTAACTCACTGGACCACTGAGCCGGCATCCACTGGTGTTAGTGTCTAACATCAACAGGACGAAACGGCCATCCCGTGTTTCCAGGTTTCTAACGGTGGTCTAACATAAAAATCGGTTTATAATCTCAATCAAGAACGTATGTATAGTTAAACCGACCATATTGAATGAACAAAAAAATGAAGTCAATAATAATGTTAACTTATGATTCCTCAATACTGTTTAGCTGAATATACGTCATTTTTTCGGGGAATCCTTTGGTCTACTACAATAGTCATATATTATTAAAAATAGAAAAGTTTTGATATAATCCACACAAGTGTTTAAATGAACTCATAGTGCTTTTTATACTACAAAAACTTTGTTAAAATTTTACTAAAATTAACAGAGAAATAAAATATTAACTGGATCTGATTATGAATAAATTTAAAAGAAAACATAGTAAGCTACAACATTCATTAAAAACATAACACCGAAATCCTTCATGAGAATGACATCCAAATCTAAATGAATGGGTTCAATCAATCGGAATAGTTAGGATGAGTGTAATACAATATACATGAAAAGTTGTTCATGGATAAACAAGGGAAAAACTTTGTTATCAATTTCCATATCTACTTATACTTTAATCACTATGGTAATCGATAACGATCTTTTTTAAATTTCCTAAAAATAATCCAAACTACCGAATTTATGTTAATCACTAAATTATCAATATAGGGTTATGGGGATAATTAAGTTATTGATTGAGATCATGAACCGATTGAGTTTAAACCACCAATAAAAACCTGGAAACAGTGTGCACCCACGATCCCGCTCGCGCTCTTGGATGCGCACTACTTAAGAGTACCACAATAGGACGAAACAGTTGTCCAGTGCTTTTAGGTTTTCAATGATGGTCTAACATAAAAATCGGTTCATGATCTCAATCAATAATCATTAAATTATATAATGAAATGAAATAAAATAGCTTACCATCAATATAAATAATTTTGTAATTTGGTACATTGAAGTTCAATGATTCTATTTTGAATAAAATAGATTCGAAAATTGTCAGTAAATATAAACAATGAATAAATAGTTTAGGATATTTCATTGATGAAATAATAATTATTTATGCATTATCTTTTATAAAAATAAATAAGAATCCTTTATATTTTGTTTAAAATTTAAAATAGTTGAATAGAATATGTTGTCATGAAAAATATCACAGATATATCATCATTTTAAAATTAATCATTCTCTTTCATATTGAATATCATTTTGTGTAAAACAGAATATCTTTATTAAATCCTTTGAAAAACTTCCATATCCTTTGTGTTGACACGTAAAAAAGGTGTTTTGTAACAATTAAGCATAGATTAATCTTTATATATGAGAACAAATAAGAATATAAACATACCTATGGATACATACAAACAAATATCTCAACCAATGAGATTTGTGATTATGTCATAGATTCTTTTAGAATTATTACTTATGTCACGTACTGCTTCAACTTATAAAATAAAAGAGGAATGTGTATTAAATAGTCAAACTTTAGATTTATCACTTGAATTAAAAGAAGAACTTGATTCCTTGAAAAAAGTTACAAAAATATAAATAATTAAAGAATTCAATTGGTTAGTAGAATTTTTTCAACTATTGAATCATTCCATTTCTCTTTCATAAACAAGTATCTCAGTTTCATCCATATAGGTTTGATGTTTATTGGTATGTAGAGAGTAATAGTAAATAACTTACAAAAAGTTTAACTGGAACTGAATGAATGAAAAGTAATTCACCTCAATAAAAAAGAAAATATTCACCTTTGATGATGATTATTGTTAGAAATTAAGAACTTAAAAAATTTTAAAGTAGTTACTCATTGAATTCTCGATTGATAGATCAGCGACAAATGATTTGATTTAAGTCTTGAAGATTCTCAGTGCTGTTCTGAAGTGTTCCTAAGAAAAAAAAAGTGAAGACGTTACTATTTCTCCTATAGTTTTTAGACGTACTTTCATTGAATACTTTTACGATATTTTTCGAACAAAAATAGTCGTTTTGTTATGTATTACGATTTTACTAATTACCTGTTAAATACGAGATAAGATTGGTATTTGCCAGTCTTTGTACAACACCTAGAATTTTATTGAATTTCGAACTTTTCATTTAACTTTTGTTTGATAACTTTGGTTTCACTATCCAACAACAATGACTTTCACTCTGTAAAAACCTAACACCAGTCACACTGGTCTTGATATCTACCGCTGAAATTGGCTTTACTCCGTAACTCTAAAATTCATTCTTTACGTAATATTGGCATTACATTATATATATTAAAATCTTCGATATAACTCTCGATCAATGTATGCCATGTTTGCACGAGTTACAACTGATTGCAAGCTTTTTGATTTTCTGCTTTTGTCATTAAATGCAAGTTCATAGTTTTATCTTTTAGCTCTTCACGCAATACTGCCTGAAAAACGATAGATTAGCAATTTGAAGGCATTTAACTATTCTATGTATAGAAACGAATAGCATGTCTTTGGAGTCAGATCAAGTCATTTGTTGTTCCCTGTGTTCGAAAACTATTCGCTTTTCATCTGTATGCATAAATCCATAACTTTTTCAAGGAATAATCATTTTTTTCAGCACAATGTCACAGAACGGGGCTCAAGTTTTTCATCGGTTTTACTGGCAGTAAGATATAAATCTAAGAAGTACATTAAGTCTACCGTGTTTAATTAGGACGTCCCGTAGCTTTGTGATTTGCATTAAAAAAAAAACATTTTTAGGTTAGTTAATGTAGCCCATCAAAAACGATTGAATAAGTATTCTAAAAATATATGTTTTAGCGTTGACTGGGTAACAGATATGTTGTCAGCAGTAACAAATGTATTATCTATGCAAAACCATTTATGTGCGTGTATTAATATGTGTGGGCATATCTCTCTTGTATGTTTTCTAAATGACAGTAACTCTTATTTTGACTTGATGTTAAAGATACGTATGTGACTTTATTCATCTCTGTGTATCATATTTATTTTTTTACCGAAAGTAAGGTCATTACTCATATTTACTTATTACTGTGATTTTTTAGTTTTGTAATTTCTGTTTCACGATATTTCATTGACCGCATTCGTTTTGTTACACTTTGCATTTTGGCCCCGTCAGACTAATTTAATGTGCTCGGTTGCTTAAATTTGAGTCGATTAAACTAGTCTATTCCTTGGAGATCGAAATGTACTTCTCGTTCGTTAAAAACCTTTACTCTTTCTAGTAAGTAATTAATTTTATATTGCATTACAACTTATCGAATTAGCATCTTATAGTTCGTTTGTACTGAGCTTTCGGTGCACAAAGTGAATTGTCACCTATTGGAAAATCCGTTCAGCGATTCTGGGTCTTTTGTATATCTTATACTCAAAGTTTGTTAAATTAGAACTACTTATATAAGCAAGCTGTTGTATTTTGATCTGCTGGCTGTTCTAAGCTCACCTCTCAGCGATTCTGTGATGTTTTTGTGTAATAATTATCCCTTTGTACCTTACTCCATCCCTTTTACGAATCTCAAATACGATGCTTTTAGTTGTGTTCATTAATTTCTGTCTAACTTAAATTAGACTGTTCTGGGAATTTTTAGTTAGCAAACCAATTTGACTACTTCTAACTTCCATAGATCCTCCGGTTATACAGATCACTCTCACATTCTAGGAACTCCGCCGCAGAAAACCAGTTATTAAGCTGCAAGTAGATCCGAAGAATAAGTCTTACTTTTTGAAAGGGGGCAGGTGTCGGAGTGATCCGGAAATTTGCTCGCAAAAGACAAGCAAGGATCAGGAAACACTAAGAAGCGTTTCATCCAGTCAGTGTTCGCTTGAAGTTTTAGCCAAAATATCAAGGACGTGAAACGTCACCTGCAGAGGTTCTGACTGGTTGATTGCTACACTGCTACTATGTTTAGTAGAATTCCAGAATCTTCGAGCAACCCAAGGACATTGAAAATACTATGAAAACCCTGTATTTTCTGTATTATAATGAACCTTGGAGTAAAGTACTTCTCACATACTTTGCGTCTTCTCTCTCGTTGCTCGGGTCGCTGTATAGTTCTAGCTTGAGGGTTACAGAATAGCTTAAGAAACGAATATAGCGTTCAATTCGCAAGACTTATCAACTGCTATCAACTTATTTCCATCATATAAATAAACGCTGAATTATTCGCATGTTTATTGTTCCTTTTAAACAGAAAATCAGATAAAGACAAATCAGCTCTTCATAAAACCCCGATCATCAGTACTGTTAATTTTCCTACCACGCCTTCTAGTGTTACTAACCCGAAAATCCAAATCATTAGGCTGTAAAGTTATCTTGTAGTCAACCATATTTAGACACGGAGATTTAAATTTGGCTACACAAATGAACTCTCACCAGACGAAGTAATAGAAGGTATATGTGGCGTTTTAACTATTCAAATCAGATAAACTGCATGTAATAAGACAAACATTAATCTAACGAATTTCATTAACTGACCGACTTTCCAATTAGGCGAAAATTGGCAATAGAAGTTTGTCATAGTTTAAAAACTATGTGAAACGTTTCGCGGAGGATGAGAAGGTATACAGTGGTTTATTCTACCAATTGTTGCCCAACCGGCTGTCGCCCAGTATACAAAAGACTCTAGCAGTTTGGAACAAGGGACTCAGATGAACAGAAAACGGAATCTGTGACAAAACAATACAAACGAGTCGCTCTGTACATAAAACGATAGTAGACGGCAGAATCGTTGCGTTAAATGAACAGGTGAATATTTCACTTCCAAAAGTGACTTAGTTGAGGCAGAACGACAGACCACAAAAATGGTCACAGGGCAGATCGTATACCATAATTCTATCACTCTCCAGAAAACACAAACCACTAAATATGCTGGTATCGTTATATTTGTCGTAGAAAAACCAGAAGATATATACTTATAGGTTTAAGGCGAGATGACCAGGAAGCGATATAACCGATCTTTGGTGACGACTGCTACGTCCGACGTAACTTCAACAGATGGTCGTTTGCTTTACATACAGAATCGAGCGACGAGCCCACATTTCTTAGTCGGCTCGTAAGATGACATCAGTGTTGTGTCGCTTTCAAAAGAAAAGAGAGGGGAATGTTAGTACGTACTTGTAGTAAGAGCAGCAAAGATGAAATATATAGAAATTATGGCAAGTTTAAACTCATGTTGAATGTCTATACAGATAGCCCGTATTTATTGGGCAATGGCTGCGGTAGATGTATTCCGGTGTTAAAAACAGTAATAAATCGGTCATTGTTTGTGGGCTTGATAGTGGAATAAATCATGAAAATAAGTAGGGTAGATTATAACAGATAATGATCTGTTGTGCCGATAGAATATAAGAATACCAAATGGCGAAATATGAATATGCCTTAGTGAGCCTCAGTAGAGTAAATAGCTTCCATAAGCCACTAATTGATATGCATTTACGCGGTATGGAGTTTCTGTTTGTAGGACAAGAATAATCATGCCATAAAATGATAACTGCAACTTAGTTGAACGACTCAAGCTCTTATCCGGAGCATTTAGCGAAGTCAGTACAGCAGTGAAATGGACATGCTCAAATCGTATTATCTTATCTGCACTTTGCCTCGTGTCAACCATTCTCATATATCCATTTGGTGGATCATTTCATTATGATCATAATAATCGTAATATTCTCATTTTTACATTATTGTCATATCCGACCTCTGAAAAGCAGTAGTGGCTATTCTGGATTACCCAGAACTGACCACAATCAGGCATTTACGCATGCTTAACGGATTAGAATGTTTCTGTAGACGGTTCATACCAAACTGAAACCTCTAACTGACCAACTTCGTGGAAATACAAAATCCACCACTTTGGACGATGTCGCGAGAAAAGGATTCTCCACAGTTAAGGAACTTATCGCTAAATCAACCATGCTAGCACACTAGGACACCTAAGTACCCATTAGTATCGCAGTAGATGCATCCAACTCGGCAATCAGCGCTCGTTTCAAAAAGGGCAGTGATTTTTGTACTTCTTGTAATTATACTTGCTTTGGGTACTTATTGCACCAAAAAGCATTCTTGGTCTACTTTAACTTAAAGTACTTTGGTTAAAGTTTGAAATTTTTTGCTAAACTTTGTCCTGAGTACCTTTTTTACCCCTGACTAACACTTGTGTTCACATTGTGATTAATTTGTGTTTTTTTTAAACCTTTTAAATCGAATTACAATGGTTGGTAAGACTCACAAATGTGGGCAACCAAATCTTTTGTTCCCCGTGGAGGAGGGAATGTAATGTGACGATTGTAAAAAGTGGTACCACGAAATGTGTACACGACTAAGTCCGGCGGCTTACAAAAGATGCTCGAAGCCTAACTCGCATTGGCTTTGTATGTTCTGCTGTACGGATAAAAAGGTACTAATTCAGGAGGCTATGGGCCTATTGGCTTTGGTTTGCAAGAAAAATGATGGCGGAAGCAATGATAACAAGAGCGCTGACGGAGATGAATGTGTCAGTGTAGTAAGTGCTGCTACTGGACCCGTTAAACTCCTGACTGTGGTTGACGGGAACGTGAAATCTCCGTTGACAGTAAAGAGGAATCAAGCGCCGCTTGATATTGTCATCGGCAGTCATATACCTTTAGTCGAAATAGAAGATCCGGATATAACTGTCACCGCTCCACGTAGTCCAGATGTGGCTGTCCTGAGTGGTGACAAACGGACTTCAGTAAGGAGAAAAAAAGTGGGAAGAAAAAGGCTATGGGCAAAACGCAGCTGGTCTACAAGGAATCGGAAGGGACGTTATCAGAAGAAAAATCCTCATTGCGTGACAAGACAGATTTCCCTGAGAGATCAGTCATTTTTCATAAGATAAGAGAATCTTCAGATAAAGAACCAAAGGAGAGATTTGAACACGATCTCAATCATATTAAGACATCATTAAGTAAACTACTCCCAGAGACAATTTCAGGAGTCAGTATTTGTAAGCTTTATAGAATAGGAAAAAAGGTGGATTCCGAAAGTCCTCAGAAAAACCGCCTCCTGAAGATTAAATTCAACACGATGGAAGAAAGGAACCTGATTCTAAGTAATTCACGTAAACTGATTGGATCCGGAATATATGTCCGTGAGGATCTCAGCCTAGCAGATCGTATTAAGAGACGAGCTGCAGAAGCTGAGATAAATGAACGTCGCCAAAACGAGGAACGAAACCTTGTTCTCAAGGGTTTTCAAATTGTAAAAGTTCGGAGAAAATCGATCCCAAAACTACTCTGGGTGGTAAGGGAAAGTTCTCCACAGACTTAAAGGTATGCCACACAAATGCTCGCAGCCTACTAAATAAAATGGCGGAGCTCAAGCCAGTGGTGGATAAAGAAAATCTAGACGTTATTGCTGTCTCGGCAACTTGGCTAACGTCAGAAGTATTAGACAGTGAAGTCCAGTTGACTGATTTCAAAACCAGTAGGGCTGATAGATTAAACCGCAGGGGAGGCGGGGTTATCCTGTACACGAAAAGTACCCTAACCATAAGATTAGCTGAGACAGTAGCACATGTTTCAGGGACATGTGAACTGTTGAGATGTAAGTTGAAATACCGACTGCAAGATATTGAATTAGTTGTAGTTTATCGCAGTCCAGAATGTGTAGCAGATGATTTTCTATTAAGTAAACTTAAGTTCTGGTGTAAAAGTCTTGTAGTAGGCGACTTTAATGCACCACATATAAACTGGGTTAACTTAGAAGTAGGGTCATCCATATCGTCGTTCGACTCCAAACTGTTAGAAACCTCGATTGGATTAGCATTATTCCAACACATTGGAGATCCCACAAGATAAGACTTAAGAAACTCTTCCCCTCTTTTAGATTTAGTTTTCACACACGGTGATGATGTTGGTCAAGTGGCTTTTCTCCCACCACTTGGGAGAAGTAACCATGCAGTCATCTTATTCAAATTCATGGATGAGATTGCCTATCAAACAGTTGCGCCGGCCCGTCCTAATATATGGAAGGCAGATATGCAGGCAATTAACTCCGCAGCATCGGCTGAGAACTGGGAAATTGACTCAAAGGCATCAGTACAAGAGGCATGGACTCTATTCAAGCAGTTATACAATCGGGTAACTCAACCATACATACCCTGGAATGTTCCAAAGAAAAAGAAGCACGGACATCCTTGGATAGGGCGGGATATTCGACGTTTACTGAGACAAAAGAAGAAATGCTACGACGTTGCCATCCGCCTTGGCACAGCAGGTACGATGGATCGCTACAGATCGATAAGAAATAAGTGTATAATGAAAATCCGGGAAGCGCAAAGAAAATATGAAATGCAGCTGGCACAGACTGCACTCAAGCAGCCCAAGAGAATATACTCGTACATGAACTACAGAACAAGGATGTATCATTGGATTCCCAACCTAATTAAAGTAGGAAGTGAATCTGAAATGATAGAGGAAGATCAGGAAGAAGCAGAGGCTATGGCTGAATATTTTGGGGCAGTTTTCACTCAGGAACCCCCTCTATACAAAGAAACAGACCAAAATAAATAGTCAACAAACCAGCTGCTCACCGTGGACTTCGACCAAAAAGATGTGCTTAACGCTCTTAGAACCCTAAATATGGAGAAGTCAACAGGACCAGATGACTTACACCCCAAAATCTTGAGACATATTGCCCAATATATCGCAGCTCCACTGACTGTAATGTCACTTGACCAACGTGTGTTACCTATGGACCGGAAGGACGCAGTCGTCACTCCCATACATAAAACAGGTCCACGACAAGTTCCATCGAATTACAGACCTGTAAGCCTCACCAGTGTTGTAATTAAAATACTGGAAAGGATAATCAAACGGACCATAACGGCATTTATGGAAACCAATAACTTGCTAAACACAGAACATGGTTTTAGAAAGGGTCTATCCTGTACAACGAACCTCCTTATAGCTAGGGAGTTCTGGATTAATGCGCTAGACAACGGAAACTCAGTGGATGTTGTCTAGATAGATTTCAGTAAGGCTTTTGACAAGGTGTCACCTAATAGACTGCTATTGAAGTCGAAAAACCTTGGTATTGCCGGACCTCTTTTAAAATGGATTAAGGATTTCCTAGTAGGTCGTAGACAAAAAGTAAGAATAAATTACAAGTGCTCCATCTAGAGACCAGTACTTAGCGGAGTACCTCAAGGTTCCGTCCTAGGTCCTTTACTTTTTATAATGTATGTTGATTATCTTCCAATTATAGTACAGTCTCCAATGTTATTATACGCTGACGATATAAAGATCTGGCGAGTAATAACTGGAGACACAGACGCGTTTACTCCTCAGGCAGACTTAAGTAATATGATAAACTGGTCTAAAGAGTGGCTGATGCCTATCAACTCGGCAAAGTGTGTCTACATGCACTTTGTGGATTCAAAGGTTAATAGGTACAACATAGGGGGAGTGCCATTACCCGTAGTCCGGTCTCATAAGTATCTAGGTATGACAGTGAGTAATGATCTAAAGACGACGTCCCATTACCGGGAGGTCGCAGCCAAGGGGTTTCGAACCCCCTGGGCTTTAAAACGGATATTCACTAAGTTAGATACTGCCATGTTCATCACTGTATACACATCCTTAGTGAGAACTAAGCTAGAGCACTGCTCTCAGGCTGCAAGCCCCTGTTTCAAAGGTGACTCGGACATACTAGAAAAAGTACAGAGGGCAGCTACCCGTGCAATTCCGGAACTCCGGGGTTTATCATACAAAGAGCGGCTCGAAAAACTGGACCTCTTTATTCTGTCCTACCGCAGACTAAGGGGAGATCTAACTTTGATGTACAGAGTACTGAGAAATGATTTTGGACCTAACTTATTCTCTCTCTTTCTTACCACTAGATCGGGACACCTTAGAGGACATAACAGGCGAGTAGAAAAGACAAGAACGAACAAAATACCCGTGGCATACAGGTTTTCACACCGAGTCATCAATACTTGGAACCTGCTGCCTGAAGCAGTGGTGTCCGCACCTTCAATTGACTCTTTCAAGAGAAGACTGGAGACTCACAGAAGCATACTAGAAAAGGAATAAAATAGGCCGTAGGCCTTCTGTCTTTACTACACAAATCTGAATCTGAATCTGAGGAGTCTTACAACATTGGGTTAACCACACATGGGAACATATGGCACTCTTCTCAGACAGTTGATAGGCACCGAATCAGGGTAAAAAAAGATTTCGGTTGGGAACTCCTAGCCATGTATTGCGCTGCAAGGCACTTTCAATACTCTGCTGAAGGCCGAGAATTCACTCTTTACACCTACCACTAACCTCTTACTTTTTCTTAAGGCTCCTCTTCAGACAAGTACTCCCTTCAAGAGCTTCGACAGGCAGACTACATTTCCCAGTTTACTCCAGACACACGAGCATTGCGTAACACTCAATAGATTCACCAAAACATCTTACGTCATTATGCACCTCCCCTTCTTTCACTTTGAACTCTGGATTCCCGCCGTAAATGCAGTTGTTCAAGGTCAAGTTAGGGAGGAAGATTTGAGCGGTCTTGGTTTGCGTACTGTGCTAATTTTCTCGATTTTCTTGCTTATATGGAATCTCTAATACCAGTCATCAACAAACTACAGGACGTTTTTAACACAGTGGGCTCTGAAACAATACAACTGCCTCAAATCGTTGTTTTGGGAACACAAGTAATTTTGCACAGTTTATTTTTTCAATAAATTAATGAAGTAAAACTTAGCTTTAAAGTTAAATTCTGTCTCATATGTTGTAAAAATATCATATGAAATTTAACAATTCCAATTTGCTCATGGAAAGCTCATGTGTTTTCACATGTAATGTTTCTCGTCAATAAAACTTCGGATGTAATGGTAATGTTTAAGATCATGGAGATTGTCCCCTATATGAACTAATATTTTGAACTACTTATGACTTTACGGTTGGCTCCTCTGTGTGTTCTTCGTGATATCTTAACAAGGGCCAGCTTGTATCTTCTGGTTGCTTTGGACGGGATAGAATCTTTCGCTTAACGGGCTTATGTACCTAGTAGCAGTGGATCACCAATGTCCCTAGGTAGAAACATAGGTATATTTAACACCAAAAGGGGAAATCTTAGTAATCTAAAATGCTACCATAGATCCTTAAGGATAGGTCTAGCTTTCTCTTGATAGACTACTAGGAAGTCGCTTGAACCAACTCAGCAGAGAATTTCAGAATTTGACTTGAGTCAACAAGTGTCAAATGTATTACTCTTGGTATTTTTTGAGGATCAGTTTGGCGGAAAGGAATTCAGAATGTTTGAACAATTTTTAGGACCTAAAATCACGCTTATATGCAGGTGTCCTGCGTTTGATTTTTGAGCTGTATGCTTATCCTCAAGCTCTTAGTTTTAGGACAATGTCTGCAATGTTTTTCTAATCTTCTTAATTTTTTTTAAAATTTTTACTCAAGTTAGTCAGTGGACCGAAAGTTTCCGTCAGTTGATTTTTCAATATAAAATATTTAACCTTTGTCGTTACGCTCTGTTTTCAGCTTTTGAGCTGAAATGTTCACATCCTCTAAGTTTTTCTAACTTACTTTTAAGGAAAAGGGAAGGCATATCAAGTCTATAATCATTTGTTAGCACCTTATTCGTTATGATCAAATGGTCTGCCAGTCTATAATAAGGTAGCTTACATTGATATAATTCTCGATTTCATAGTATCAAAGGTATATGACAAACTCCCACAAACAAGTAATAGCAGTAATAGGTACTTGTAGAAATCCGATTCCCTAGAGACTCCATAATTCGTATAGGTCATTCAAAGAGAAGGTTATAGATTTGGTGTTTAAAATAAATATTGTTAGTAGGCTTCACAGCCCCTAAACGCAGCTTCATACCGAAGGATTGGTCTCAAGTCTGCGTGCAAAGATGAAAATAAAGTAGTTTTACCGTGTGAATTAAATTTCATTTCAGTCTGTTTTGCCTACACTTAGCGGTAATCAGATTCTTGATTTCACTGAAGTTTATATACATCCAATTGATATACCTTATACAACATAATGAAAAGGTAGTCAGTGTATGACGTGTCGTGGTATGAAAGAAGGCTGTACAAGACCGGGATCTGCTGATCATTTACGATTCCCTGGTTAGGGTTTCAGAGATAGTGCAATACTGGCTTGGAAGGCTACCAGATATGTCTGAAAATAGAAGCCAGTGGTGGGTCTGCTATAACTTTCTCTTACTTTCTTCATATAGGTGTGAGGAACTTGTTTAACCGAAAGAATCCTTTCTAGTTGTATTTTTCGTAAGTGAACCGTTCCTGTCATTATTACCATTGTTGCTAGTATTTTTTCTTTCATACACTAATTTCTATCCATTTTTGTTCGTTTTTTATTACTCTCACCTTTCTTTATCTTCACAATCTTGTTTTTATTGCGCCTCATATATTCTGGTGCCTTTTTGTACAAATGTTTCTGCTTAAATAAACAAAACAGATAATGGAACCCGTAAAGTATATTATCAGTCGCTATCAGATGTAACTATAGGCTGTATGTTATTTTTTAAATCCAGCCGAGTTATCGTATAAAAATCCAGTAAATCTTCAACTCACCAATTCTAAACGTGGTCAGTTTTTTGCTCAATAATTTTCCTATTATTTATTTCGGGAAGGCTTATACTAAGAGTGTTTAACTTCCAGTTTCTAAATCCCTGGTTCCAACCTCTCATCACCTTAGGTCTGAGCAATCAGGCAGTATCATTAGCCCTCACAATTCGAGTGTGGTTCTTACCCCAGTACCTGGTGAATACCAATTTATTTTTTTAATAAAAAATTTACATACCTTTGTCTAATCGCCAACAAACTATTGGTAAGCTTTAAAATCACTGTGACCACTAAATTTGTTCGAGGAACACATTGTTAGCAACATGAAATCACTAACTGCTCGTCCAAGTCGTATGTATATGCTCAGATTTCCTGGTTTTGGAGACTACTCGAAGTCAGTGGTTGGTCAGTCAGTCAGCTACAACGTAGGACCAGGCACATATATGCATCGATCCAAGTTGCCACACCTCATTAGCACAACAAGATGAATACCGAATTCATAGTTGTTACTTCAATAATAGTAATATATAAAAGAAAGATTGTGTATAAGGATATAATGCAGAACGAAAGAATCAGTTGGTAGAAAGAAAGGTAGAAAGCAATTCTAATCTCGCGGTTTAAGGAAAGACAGAGATTGTATACACCTATACCATTGTGATCGATTCTGAGCCATGTCACCCAGGGTCTCCAACCATTGGTTACGATAGTCACACGGACCCCAACCAACTAGTTTGCATCTACCAACATGGCTCACATCAGAAGTTAGTGACTTCAAGCACTGATACCACGTTTTGGTTTAGTCGCCCTCAACTTTCTTCCAACCATCTACAACACGTGTTGGCATTGCATGTCGTGGTAATCGACGGTTGGGTTTGCGTAACACTCTGTGGTATTGAACATCCAACATTAGTGTTGATTTTGCTTTAGTGTTAATTATTTGAATTATATAAGTTTTTCACTTATTCTTCAAGTCCTTCGTGGTCCTCACAGTTAAACGGCTATTTTTCTATTTTTCTCTCACCCCCGAGTTTCTAAGTGAATAAAGGGAATAAAGTGATTTTCTTTCTAACTCTTATCTCTTATTTAGAGCTCTGGGAAGAGTTCAGTCCTTGAAAACTTAGTTGGTCGAGATTTCCTGCCTAGAGGACATGGAATTGTGACGCGGCGACCACTTGTTTTACAACTTATCCATGTAGATGAGTCAGACCATGCTACACGGGTCGCGGAAGGTGATGGTACTTCAACCGAATGGGCAACATTCCTACATACAAAAAAGATATACCGGGATTTCGATGAAGTTCGTAATGAAATCAAAAGCGAAACTGATCGGGTTGCCGGGGCTGGAAAAGTATGTTTCGTTTAATTTACTTTCGATATGGTATATATTATTTTTACCTTACGCTGTGTAGTTGTAGCATAAAGTGTACTGATAAATTATTTGAATCAATACATGACGATTCAGTGATGATTTTTTGCAAAGCTTATAGTTTCATGCAAAGTTTATAACTAGAGAGAAATCAGTACGCAAAACAATTGACCACCACGTTTTGTTCTCTTGTAATTTGTTCACAACGAAAGTATTGAACACAATATTCAAGGAATTGAATTAAGATTCTAAACTTGATGAATAAACACTAGTAGGCCAGCTCTTACTGACTTACGCCTGTTAACCCTCGTGGAGGGGTATAGGCTACCCACTAGTATTCTCCAACCAAATCTGTCCTGGACTCTCGTTCCTAACGATTTCCTATTATTATTATTATTATTATTATTATTATTATTATTATTATTATTATTATTATTATTATTATTATTATTTAAACAAAGGGGCACTGAGTACATATGCGCCACACAAGTCATTTGATTTATGTGTGGGCTGTGATACTGCTCGGGTGCCCGAACCGAAGCAGGTGGTTTTCTTAGGGAGCCATACCCGGAGCCTTCGACCTAAAGGTCTGATCCGCAAGGCAGTGGAGCAACGTAAGGGGATTCAGCCCCATAGTAGCCGGTGACCAGCGATTGGTTCATATTCCATTTGTTCTCTTAGGATCATGGTTTCGTTTCATTTTAAGAGTTTCTACTGCGTTATCACTTAATTTGTGTTTCAAATCTCGTATGCAGACTTTCCAGTTGCAGTCAGTTTTACTAGGCGTTAAATTTTAACAATTCTAGTAAAATTCTTATATTAATTTTAGGCTGTAAGCTCCGAGCCGATCAACTTAAAAATATTCAGCCCACGTGTTCTCAATCTCACTTTGGTCGATCTTCCTGGCATTACAAAGGTTCCTGTTGGTGACCAGCCTGAGGATATTGAAACATTGATCAATGATTTATGTCTTCATTACATTAACAATCCTAACAGTATAATTTTAGCTGTTACACCGGCCAATGCAGATATGGCTACTAGTGAAGGTCTTAAGCTGGCCAAAACAATCGATCCTGATGGTAAGTCATGTCTACTTGATAGAGCATAACACACGTAAAATATGTTACCCAATTATCGAAGAAGCTAAGACAGAATAGTATTTTATAATGGGCGAAATTACTTATAAATCTGTCCTTGATAATTTGAGATTAAATTAACTCAGTTTTTTCTAGATTTTCATGAAATTTCATTGATCATATTTTTAATTTAAGCATTTCAATGATAGATATTGTTAATGAATGATATTTAGTTTGTAGTTCAGTTTTTTAGTGCATAATATCATGGCAGTTAAAGTAATCTCCATTGGGGTCCAGGTACACGTAGTTATTAATTTTATTAAAACAACGTAGGACCTAGTATGTATATACATCGGTTCAAGTTGCCATATCACATTATCATAGTTAGATGAAATTGTTAGGACGAATCCTAGATTAGTAGAGGTAGTAACAGTATAAGTGGTAATAGAAAAGATTAGTATCGAAGATACAGTCCAAGGACATATAAATCAATGGAATAAAGAAAACTATGAGGAGTTCAGAAGCTTAGAATCTGGTAGAAGACAGAGAGTGAATACACCTGCTTCACTGCGAACGATTCCGATCCATCTCATTCAAAATCTCTAACTATTTGTTAATCACACGGATCCCAACCAGATAGTCTACACCTATTAACATGGTTTAGTCCAATTGTCGATGACTTGATGGACTGATGCCATGTTTTCGTTTGACCATCCCTAACTCTCTTCCAGCCTGCTCCTACACCAGACAATAACGCCTGTCGAGGTAAGCTTTGGCTGAACATGCGTAACACATAGGTGTCATTACCAAGGTTTGATTTGATAATTTCGAATAAATTGAGCATTGGGTTGATTGTTATAAATAAAAATAATATATTTGTAATATCCCAATGATTAGAAAATCCAATTTTCTACTCATTGGGATATTACAAATATATTATTATTTTTATTTATGCGTAACACATGTCCAAATCACACCGGTTGATGAATATTTACTACCTCACTAATCGACTTACTGTCTTCACCCAACAGCCTACCTCCAACCCATCTTTTGCTTACTAAGTAGTACACGAGCAATGCTTCTAAGACACGTATGATCGAATACTAGTGGAGTGCTACACAGTATACTCATCTTTTGGTTGGTAGAAGAATTCATTGCCTACGCCACAGATTATTAACTTCAAAACATTACGAATCCCATCGCTACCTGTTAAATATATTATAAAGATCAAATACTGTGTTGAATCATTTATAGTGGAACTAGTATATACAAATGCCAATCAAACATCTCAGTCCCAGATACCAACGTATAAGCGTACAGACAATTTTGGGGTTGGGAGGATAATTTCGTTTCTGATAAACCCACATACTGTTTCTTCAAGTCCCGATTGATAAAATTGAGATCCAGTGATACCTTTTGGGGAATATTTGTCATAATACTGAACAATACAAGAACATCAAGATTCACAGAATAAAATGAATTTATTATGCTTTGAGGCTTTTTATCATCTGCTAATACCCTAAAGTGATAACGAACAAAGATTTGGGATACTTTAGTTAGTACTATTGGGACGAAAGTTTGGGATGCATTAAACTGTTAGAACAATAATGCACAAAAGTTGTGTCAGATATTATAGTCGAGATAGATGCATATATTATGCGTGAAAATTTAGTAATGTAAATTAGGCTAGGTGAGCGAGATGTAGTGATAATTACTGAAAAGAACAAGTGGTTACATAATTAACCGACACGTTTAAAAGAAATCAATTTAATAAATGAAAGTTAGTGTTTGGTCAGAAATGAAATTATATGTTAGGTGCTATTGTTTCTCGATAGTTATTTCTTGCAGAACAAAGTGTTTATTACCCTCTCCTTTATACACAGGTTTTAAACGTTTGAGGGGAATAACCTCTCCTAAGTAAATAAATCGTGATTTTTCTCATTGTTGACTATTCTTAAAGTTTTAAAAATATCCACTTTTATCCATTATTCATTAACTGGAGATATTTACGTACTATGGGTTTTTTTAAAATTTTGTTTATTCCACTTAGGCCGCCGAACTTTATGTATTCTAACTAAGTTGGACCTAATGGACCATGGAACAGACGCCCACGATCTTTTATTGGGGCGTGTTGTTCCAGTTAAACTCGGCATAATTGGTGTTGTCAATCGTTCTCAAGCCGATATTAAGGCGGGTAAAAATATTGACGAGGCATTACAAGATGAAGCCAGTTTTCTGCAACGACGTTATCCATCTCTTGCTAGTAGGAATGGCACCCCATTCTTGGCACGGACATTAAATAGAGTATGTTATAACACTATTGTATTATAATTTTATATATGCAGGAGTTTTAACTACGTTGTGCTAGCTGCTACCGAATAAATTACTCTCCAATCCGTAAATCATCTGTTATTGAAAAAATATAATGTACACCACTTCCGTTGTATGTGGGTTTAGCGTAAATCATAGCAACTAAATGAAACATTTGTGATCAGATCTTTTAGTTCTGTTCATCCAACTGCGAACTGTATACTAACGCGTTTAGGACGTTGAATAGTCACAAGAGAAGTAAAGGCAGAGAGATTTAGTAGTATGGGCAATGAACGTTTAAAGAAAACACTCAAATGTCTGATACAGAATTCCTACACCTTTTTTGTAATAAACTTCCAACATCCATAGATCATCAGACACTGAAAAAGTAAAAAAACTGCAAGGCGAATACATGATTTGTTTTAAATTAGTTTCTGTACATAAACCAACACCTATTTATTTCGTTATATTCTGATATGGTATTTTGTAGACTTCTAGATCAGCTGTACAATTTGTTAACAACTTTTGTGTTTGTCTAATCATATTAGAAAATAGTGTACCCTTATAGGAAATTAGCTGTTATTTAGGTATTAATTTGCCGGAAGATGTTTAGACATATTCAGAATTTTGTAGAAATTCAGGATTTCGATTCATCCATCTATTAAATCATATTATTGGCTTGCCCGAGATAGTGATTTAAATGAGCTCAATGTTTACTTTTCTAATACTACATACTTCCTATTTTTTTAAATTCTATGTAAAGTGGATGTATAATTTTAATTTCATTAATCGATGCAGATTATATTCATGAACTTTAGAGCGATATTGTTGCGTACTTACGCCTGTTACTCCCAATGGAGCATAGGCCGCCGACCAGCATTCTCCAACCCACTCTGTCCTGGGCCTTCTTTTCTAGTTCTATCCAATTCTTGTTCATTTCTCTCATGTCTGTCTCCATTTCTCGGCGTAATGTTTTCTTCGGTCTTCTCCTCCGTTGGCCTTGAGGATTCCAAGTGAGAGCTTGCCTTGTGACGCAGTTGGGTGCTTTCCTCAATATGCGTCCTATCCACTTCCAGTGCTTCTTCCTGATTTCTTCCTCCTCTTGGATCTGGTTTGTTCTCTCTCACAGTAGGTTGTTGCTGATAATGTCTGGCCAACGAATCCGAAGTATTTTGCGTAGAAAGCTGTTCCCAAACACTTGTATCTTCTGGATGATGGCTTTCGTAGTTCTCCAGGTTTCTGCCCCATACAGTAGAACTTTCTTGACATTTGTATTGAAAATTCCGACCTTGGTGTTGGTTGACAGTTGTTTTGAGTTCCAGATGTTCTTCAATTGTAGATATGCTGCTCTTGCTTTGCCGATCCGCGCCTTCACATCTGCATCAGATCCACCGTGTTCATCAATGATATGTAAAGGTTTTTACATCTTCCAAATCTTCTCCATCAATTGTGATTGGATTGGTGTATGCTGTATTGTATCGGAGAATCTCGCTTTTCCCTTTGTGTATGTTGAGATCTACTGCTGCTGAGGCTGCTGCTACACTGGTGCGATAGAAGAGCCAGATCATCTGCAAAGTCTAGGTTGTCCACTGTATCCCATGCTTCCCCCCAGATGTTGACGTCTTTATGAATCAGTCGATCACCAGAAGAAAGAGAAAGGGTCAGAGTAAGCAACCTTGCCTGACACCGGTTCTTACGTCGAACAAGTTTGTCAGCTGTCCTCCATGCACGATTTCGCAGTTTAATTTATCATAGGAATTCTGTATGATGTTGACTATCTTCTCAGGCACGCCGTAATGTCGAAAAAGTCTCAGTAGTTTTGTCCTGTTCACACTATCAAATACTTTCTCGTAGTCAATGAAGTTGATGTAGAGTGACGAATTCCATTCAATTGATTGTTCCACAATGATCCGTAGTGTTGCAATTTGGTCTGTACACTATCGATCCTTATGGGATCAAGCCTGTTGGTTTTGGCGATGGACTTCTACGGAGTCCTTCATTCTGTTTAACAAAACCCTGTTGAAGACTTTTCCTGGTATTGAGAGAAGAGTGATGCCTCTGTAGTTCTCACACTTGCTGAGATCGCCTTTCTTTGGTATCTTGATCAGGTGTCCTTTCCAGTCTTTTGGTACTTGTTCTTCATTCCAAATCTTGCTGAAGAGAATATGGAATGTCTTTACAGTTACTGCTACGTCTGCTTTCAGTGCCTCTGCTGGGATGTTGTCTGGTCCCTCTTTTTTTGCCGATCTAGATTTGTCTGATGGCCATGCTGATTTCTTCAATTGTTGGTGGGTCAACATCGATTGGGAGGTCCGTGGGTGCTGCTTCGATTTTGGATTGGTTTATTGGGGCTGGTCGATTCAAGAGTTCCTTGAAGTATATATTAGTCGTAGGTCCTGCATTAAATATGTTTACTTTCTGCGAGATTGTATTTTGAATTTTCAACATTGCGTCACGCTAAACCACTTTGTGAAACCTACAAAAATAAAAATTTACCATAAAATTATAAAACCTAGTCAGAAATATGTCATATTAATTCAGAATCGATTACCAAAACAACCAATATAATCAATTGTCATGAAATTTTACTGTATAAGGTCAGCTCACTGAAAGCTCAGTCAGGCACCTAAAAAAGGACAGTAAATTCATTTTATCTAAATTATTTTCTGCATCTGGTAAGTCTCATTTTATGGTAAACATTAATCAATACTATGTATATTTTGTACTAGAAAACATAGTTTAATAAATTGGAATTTTGTGTAATAGTAGTCGTAAACATCAATGTTCTAGGAAGTTCTGTTGATTTATTACAAGTCAATGTTACTTTATGATTATGTTTTTATATTATGTTATATTTTTTAAAGCTTTTAATGCATCATATACGGGATTGTTTGCCAGACTTGAAAACACGTGTGAATGTAATGGCTGCACAATTTCAGAATCTTTTAAATACATTCGGAGATGAAATCGAAGACCGAGTAAGTTTATCGCTTTATGTTTACCCTTCCCTTAGTCTTATTCTTCATGAAGTAAAATACTTTCACTTGAAGTTCCCTATTATCATCCATTTCTTAATATCGATTCAGCGTATGTGAAAATATTTTCATGAATTATGCATCAAATGTAAATAATTACATTTTGTTTCGTAGCATGAAGCTTTTATTTAAATGTGGCCAATATTTTGGCTAACACCTGGACTAATGATAGTTTACTTCCAGTTTTTTTTGTTTATTATTCTTGTATTATCCTCCTTACTACTATTTTTCTGTCGGGTGATTATTTTAGCTTCATAACATCTTTTAAGGTGAGAAAATGGAAATTCGGGATCTTTTTGCTATTTTATCGACTTCATTTCTCTATTTCTAATATGTTCTTGTACATAGTTTTACCAGGATAATATATTATTCGTTATCAGTATAGGGTTGTGGAGATTGTTACGTTTTAATTAAGATCATGAAGCGATTAATGTTACACCACCATTGAAAACGCGGAAGCACTGGACTGCCGTTTTGTTCTAATATGGGACTCCTCAGCACTGCGATTCCATGATCCCGAACGCGGACTCAAACTCAAGACTTTCGGTCTCATGCGCGAACGTTCAACCCGTAAATTTTTACTTCAACTAGTGGAAACTTATGCATACCATCTATATCTAACTATCTATCCATTACATGCAAATTTAAGATAAACGTATTACAAATAAATGTACCCGTTTAACTTGTTGATTTTGTCAATAAGAAAAAGAAATTGAAACAATGAACGTCACAGCTACATCAACTAAAATCCCTCCAAACTCGTAAGCGGATCATATTATTTTAAATCCTGTCTAAAATTTTCAGTCACATTGTGAAACTCACCATCCTTCTTATACAAGGTAGCATTTAGTGTTTCTAACCTCGCCTCCTGCATTAAGTTTGTTAATTATAGTTCTATTAAATACTGTCTACGGTGCCTGTGATATTAAGTTGGCTGACAGCTCCCTACTCACTCATTCAGTCAGCTAAAACGTAGGACCAGGCACATATATGCATCGGTCCAAGTTGCCATACCTCATTAACACAACAAGATGGACACCGGATTCATAAAAGTAGTTAATTCAGAGGTGGTAATATATAAAAGAAAGATTGCAATAAGGATATAATACAGGAAGAAAGAGTTAGTTCGTAGAAAGAAAGATATGAAGCAATTTTAAGAGAAGACAGAGAGTGTGTACACCGACGCCACTGTGATGGATTCTGAGCCATGTCACCAAGAGTCTCCAACCATTGGTTACGATAGTCACGCGGACCCCAACCAAGTAGTCTGCATCTACCAACATGGCTCAGACTAGAAGTTAGTGACCTCAAGCACTGATGCCACGTTTTGGCTTGGCCGCCCCTAACTTTCTTCCAACCATCTCCAGCACCGGTTAGCATTGCACGTCGTGGTAATCGGTGTTCAGGCATACGTGGCACGTGGTCCAACCATCTTAGTTGAGGAAAATTTACAACCTCATCAACTGATTTACCATCATTCCCTAATACCCTGCGTCTAACTTCACTATTACTTACCCAGTGATCCTAGCAGATGCGAGCAAAATTTGTAAGGCATCTGTGATCGAACACTAGTAGCTTACGAGCATCTCTTACCCTTACTGGCCACGTTTCGCAGCCGTAAAGTAGAACAGGACGAACTGCCGTGCAGTATACTCGTCCTTTTATTGATAGACATATCTCGCTTTCGCTATAGATGACGTGAGTTGGCAAAAGCCAAACGAGCTTTTCGAATCCGTGCTGAGATTTTGTCAGACACCAACTTATTAGGGCTGATCAGACTTCCAAAATCAATGAAGTTCCCAACGCGTCTGACCACTTCACCCCCTATCCTTAGTTCAGGTATTGACGCAGACCAGTCCTGAAGCAACAACTTTCATTTAGAGGGAGAGAAGCGCATTCCAAACATTCTGGAATTGTTGCTTAGTGCCACCAGAAGACTCTGCATCTTATCAGCGTCCCTACTCACTGACTTGTATTAGCTTATAATTTCTTTTTACAAGTTCAGGAAATATTCCTAATAGATAACTTAATGTACGACGTTTTTAAGCTATCTTCGATTAATGCTGTAGTGAACGAAAACATAAGGCTGGACAATCAAATGTATCTGAACACAAAATTACAAAATCACCTTAGTAAAATTTGAGAACCATACAGTAAATACTTAATTTGCAAAATATCAATCAATCGTCTCCGACTTCACTGTTCCCTCATTTCCACACCGAACATCCTCTGTTCTCGTTCTCTTTTCTTCGATCTTCTTAACCCTCTGCTGCCAGGTATTTCACTTTCAATTGATGATACATATTACTTATATCTATCGACATCAGTAGCATACACCACAATGCTAGAGCAACATGATGTTTCGGAATGAAAGAAGGCTGCTTCACTTCTTATTTTCAGGCGTTACTTAACGAGAATAAATATCCTTGCATAAGTATGTTAATAGTTGCGTTTTTGAAATATTAGTTATTGTCGTTTAACGAAGGCTTAGATAACGCATTAGATACTGGATTACTAAGTATAGACCAGATTTTTTCGAAGTAATCAATCTAATAATGTGAATATGTTCATCCATCAGGTCGTCAAAGCCCGTATTACAAACGAATAGCTATCTTATTTCTTGAAATAAAACCTGTCTTTGTCTTCGATTTTTTGACTAGAACTGTTCTGTAAAGTCGTCTACTATTGATGAGATGTACTTAAACTTTCATCTATATATTCATGACCTGCTTCGGTCTGGGCACCCGGGCAGTATGACAGCCCACACACACACAAATATGGTGTGGCGCATATATATTTGGTGCCCTCTTGTACCAATATTTATGTGTTGAAATAAAATAAAATAAATATATTCATGAATGCCACAATTAGAGTAAGATTCTGTGGCTAATAGTAATTGACGCTCAAAATCTAATTACATACATAGTATTTAAAGTGAATTTATTAATATGATGATTGTGTCTGCTTTACACCTTAGAATTCTAAAGAAGTTTTATGGAAATCGGTAATTCTACTCACCTTCATTAGTGTATTTTTGAAGTTAGCTGAAAGCCCCATATATCACAGTATTTATTTTATTACTGTCTCTTCTTGTGGCCAAATCCAATTCTAAATAAATCTATTTTTCGGAAGTTTATTTTTATAATGGTGTAAATCTTTTAAAATCATGAACTTCATTTATTTCGTCATCCCTTACATAAGTAATACAACGCGTTTTTAGTCTACTTGTAATTTCTCTAACAGTTGACTGGGAAAATTTCGCTAATTAAAGAAACAAACGATCTCTAAAGTTTTATATATCACATAAACATGATGACAGTTGGACTGTATATACGGGTCAATACGAGTGTCAAATTAACTCTTCAAATGTTCAACTACTGATTTTCTGCTACTCACGTTGCTGACTGTATGTATGTCAGTTTAACAAGTTGCTATTAGAACGTTTACAGACTATTCAACCTGGTTTAGCAGTATTGCATTTTGTCAACATTTTTAATGACCTTTGGAATCGACTATTGAATCCGAAGAGCCTGTTAGTTTACTACATATGGAATGTATGGCGTTAAGTGCCATTATATCATATTATTGTCTGTTCATCACGCTTCCTGGTACAATGTGACACAAAGTATCTTGACCCCAAACCGGTTGCAGTGGCTCAGATTTTCAACTTAGGATTAGACTTTGTAGCTATTACGCTGTTATTTTGTTTTATATTTATATATTAATACCTATCCAGGTGCTTCTTTTCCGGATTGTTTCTATTATTTCTTATATTCTTCCTCTTCCGATACCTTTATATTGTTTTTATGTACTTTCTGTGTGGTGTGTCTTGATACGTATCCTGTATTATGTAGCGTTATTGAAACTAGGAGTAACTGGAATACCCAGGGTTAAAAGTTCGAATTTTAGGATGACAATTATTTAATACATATAGATTTTCCCGAATTTCTAACCAGTTACAGTGAATGATATCTGTTCTAAAGTGTATGTTACGTTGATTTTTTCAAATATTGCTGTATCTTTGTGAGGACCTTGTGTCCTACCATCATAGCATAGCGTGTAAATATGTTTCTAGTTGATTACACGTTAGGTGTTTATCATTGTAAGTAAACAAATGATTCAGATATAGAAAACTATTCCTTCCAGTTAATCCATTGATTTTATTTTACTGTATAACTTGATTGCTAACTTCCAAACCTACCTGTATATAATACTCAGTTATTAGAATCATTTTGATAGCGAGTCAGAAAGATAGAAATTAAATAGGTCATTGATTTTTATTATAATTCACTGGAAATACACAAATAAAACTTAATGTGAGTGAATGCTTAACCTGGTTGTTTGCAAACTTAAAGGTTGAAGTGGGACTTATTTTTTAAAGTAAATATAACGACAGTGATCGTTCATAATTTATGTGACTTTTAATGGTTGGGAAGACTTTCAAAGCCATAGCGATTACTGAAGATTCCGTTGTTTAATCAGGATTCGTAAAAAAACTAATCTACACGAATTGAATCGATCGATGCTATTTGATAGTGTTCTGTTTGAAAACACATAATAACTAAGCCTTCCAAGCGATAGACTGTATTTTTGAAGCAATTCTCAACTCAATAACTCGGGAACAGTTATAAGAACTAGCATATAGAATACTAGCAGTTTTCATTTTAAATCAATCGATTCAATTTAAAAGTAACTGTAGTTATTTGCGGCTACAGTTAGTAAGAAGATCGGTCTGTCGCTCTTTAACTTTATTTTTGGAGGATGTAACATACTATATATATTCAATATTTTAATTAATAAGAAACTTTTCATGTATGTAAAAATTCGAATTCGCTCAATTGAATCTTATGCGGTTAGTTGCAGATGTCTATGCCAGTGAGGAATTAACTTGTGAATATATTAAAACCCAACTTTTTGTTATATCGTTGCGAAGATTCAGAAATCCAACTTTTCTCTCTAAGCTTATTTATTAGAACATCACTTATTGTATATTTTAACTTTAAAGGGACAACTTTTGCTGCAGATTATTACAAAGTTTAATACTGCTTATTGTAATACAATTGATGGAGTTGCGAAAGATATTGAAACGACTGAGTTGTGTGGTGGCGCTCGTATTTGTTATATATTCCATGAAACTTTCTATCGAACTTTGAGTAAAATCGATCCTTTGGGTGGTTTATCAACTCTTGATATTCTAACCGCAATACGAAATGCTACCGGGCCAAGACCTGCTCTATTTGTGCCAGAGGTTTCTTTCGAATTGTTGGTAAAACGACAAATCAGGCGTTTAGAAGAACCGAGTTTACGATGTGTTGAATTAGTCCATGAAGAAATGCAACGCATCATTCAACATTGTGGTGCTCAAGTGAGCAATATATTAAATCTAGATATTTTTCGGCGTTATTCTATTTTTGTGTAACCATTCTATATATTTGGAAAAGATATTGTAAAACTGCTATTTAGCTGTTTACCACTATAATTGTATACGTTTCCTATCCTTTTGTACGACAGTCGTTGGCTTATAGTTGTAGCACTTTTGACAGCCCACATTAAGTGCCAACTTTTTTTCTATCAATCAAACTAGAATTCAAATATATTCATATGGATAAATAGTGTATGTTAAATTTTGATCGTTGTTCGAAAATAACAATTAACATGGCGAAAAATGAATTTTTGACGTTTTGCTACCGAGTGTAAGTCGTCGCTTCAAAGAATGGATGAATGGAATTAAGCTAACATAATATTTTATTATTATTCCTCCAAACGTCTGAGATTCAATGTTCTATTCACTGGAACATTAATATGTTTTTTTTATTATCATAAACAATGCACCCAATACTGGACCTTTTTTTATTTCTTCTAATTCAACCTTGATAATAATACAATTAAAAACAAACATTTTGATCAGAACTTCGGTAAATTATCCGATTTCTAAGTAAAAGTACTCAAATATCTATTCCTTTTTGCAGAACCAATAACCATTATTCAAGCTTCTCATCTATGAAAACTTGCCTGGAAACAATATCGTTTGGATCACTTCAGTTTTAACTTTTTAGTAAAAAACAAAAATGGCTTTCCATGATAGTCAGAAGCAGTATTTGTAAAAATACGATACGCTATCATTCTTTGTTACACTTCTATGTTTCATTTCTCCGTGATTCGTTCAATTTACTCATTTCACTCCTTAAACATTGTACTACTATACACCGTTCACTCATCGTTGTTTTTACCTTTCAACAGACTCTCGAATAATAGTAATTCAAGCAGCTACTGATTCTAATTGGAAATCACAAGTACAACCCTTTCAAATAATTACCACGATAAACCCATCAGTCAACCATAATCAAAGTAAAACCAAACAAAATCTGCTTCATCCAAATTTGTCATACTAAAAAAATTCTTCTTTGCGCATTATATACGAATGATTTAGTGTGACAAATAGGATAGTTTAAGGATAGTGAATTTACAAAGTAAGAGAATATAAAGAAGGCTTACTAACCTGTGTTGGTTGTCCCCGTGTTTGTGAATAATTCTTGTTGCTAGTGCAAATAGAGCTAGTTAGTGGTATAAAGCACTCGTAGACACAAATTTACGTGTTGAATGTATTCTGAGATCTGTATTCTTTTTTACTTCATTCTGATCAGAAAGAGTTAATACAGGTGTGAATTCTACCTAAAAGTTAAGTCGTAATTCAAAGTAGATTGTAGAGTCCTCATGGTTGATGCTGTCCAATTGTTTATAACAACATCTAAACGTTTAATTCCTGTATTAATATTTTGTATGTAAGCATGCATTTATATTCGACAAAATAAACCCATTTTTCTAGCCAGTGGTCCGGCCCTTAATCTTAGTTCATTCGGTGGCGTTTAAGTTAATAATCCGATCTCGTAAACAGCGCCCATCAATCGATCAACATCCATAACTCATTCATCACTAATCCTAAACCACAAAACAACTAGATTTGTTCAGTTGGCCGAACTACATGTTATTATTTATCAGTATCCAATTATTGTTGACATTTATCATTGATTTCCTTAATGTTTATACTAAGTTGTACAAATTCATCTCAGTTTTTTCATTTACCTATAGCAAGAACTCCTTCGGTTTCCGAAACTGCACGAACGTATAGTCGATGTGGTCACTTCTGTATTGCGCCAGCGCCTGCAACCGACCAATCAAATGGTTACTAATCTAGTCGCTGTTGAGTTAGCCTATATAAATACTCGACATCCTGACTTTCTGGAAGCGCTAAGTACACATCGGCAACAGGCTCCAGGATTAGAGAATCTGGTAATTTTTTTTCTGATTTCGAAATTTTTTAATGTCCATTTTAAAACTTTAAGCTAATTTCCTATTTAACTGTGGGTCACTTTTCATACTGACACTATTTTATGTAGCGTATTAATGGTTTTTGTAATTTTTTTTAGTAGTTCGCTTGCTTAAAAAGTCCTGCTTGACTTTCACCTACTGGGCTGAGTTTGAATCCCACTTTTGTTTAGGCAGTTGGGTAACATCAGTAGCCTTCACAAAACTGTATGACTCAAAGCCGAGCGCATAAATCCGTATTTAGTTAATGGATTAAATGTAATTATTTTATCCAGTTATTAATTAAAATTGTGTCCATTATCTGTGATTTTAGTATATCTCTGTTAAATATGGCTTATAGCTTAAACACTTAATAGTTGTAAAATAAAAAAATCTCGGGTTCATCTAGAATGTTAGTTGTATATTTGATAAATAGTTACTTTAATATTATTTTCAAAACAATTATCGACATCAAATCTTGATTTTACTTCATGACCTATTACGTATGTACTGCATCAAAATTTGAGTTATTTTCCTTTATCTTAATTTATTTAACACAATAAATCGATATATCTAAAGTCTTTCTATTGATTCAGAACTAAACTTTATCTATTGGAAGTGCTATGAGCGCCATATAGTTCAATTAAGAAATTACTAACAATCAATGAAAAACTTGTCAGTATTACCATCACTATCATTAAACCCTACAACTTGACTAGAATATTAAAAACAACTTTTCCTTATGCTTACTTGTTTACAGTATAAGTGAATATATTTCATTTAAAAAGCAGTCTATCTTTTGATGACAAAAACTGCTAAAATCAATCGAATTTTCGCTTCAATTTGATCCCGATTAATAATTGATTACGGTTTTGTCCAAGTTGTTATAAATTCAGTCGTTGATTATTGATTATATAAGAGTGAATTTATCGAAAGGTTATGCAACCTAAAAATAGTCGAGACACATAATTTTTTACAGAGAATAATATTTACCGATGTTCAACTAGATTTGGTGAACCAACTGAATTATTTTTTTGTCTATTTGTTATGTCAACAACAATACGTTAATAATGAAACTGCCGTTCTTTGAAATTTCAAGTACATATCGGTTGATGATATTGCAAACCGTTATCGAGACGTTAGTTTTCAAATTGATTGGAGAATTCTTGAAAGTCAATAATGAGTTTATTTAAGGTCAATGCTTTTTCGTTGGCTCTCCACTTTTCATGTAGTTCTATGGTTGATTTCGGTATCTTTACAACCGTTGTCCTCTTTTTATGAACGTTAGTGCATGATTCGTTTCCATATTAGATTAATACTGTTGTATCCAAAAGTTTAATAATTACATACGCTTTTCGTCCATACTTGGACCGTTTCTGCTACATTGACGTGGTGGTCGGGTTTTCCTTCCGTAATGAACCAATCGAGCTATACTGGCTGGAACAGTCGTTCTTCAAGGTCCTACCATGCCAGACAGGTCGGTTGAAGGGTGGTATGACTAAAAGCAGCGAACCCAAGGTCCGGGGGCGAAGTCGTACTGCTGATTATACAGAGGTGTGATAGCAGTAAGGTGTTTCCTTCAGACAACCAGCATGGCAGCGATGCTGCCTCCCCACAAAGAGGGCCCTAAAATGCACACCTCGCTCTATCCCACGGATATCCGTTTCTGGCGGTAAGGTCTCAACAAGTACGGAGCTAACACGAAAATTACTCACAAAAACGTCGTATGTAGCCGACCTTAAGCAGTTGTTTCTTAGGCAATGCGGTCACGCTCTCAGGTCACTAAGACCATTCCTAACCCAATTTCCTTTTCAGGTACCTCTAGAAGAACCCTCCCACAGTGTGGGAAGCCGGTAAGTGATAACCGCCACCATACCTCTAACAGCATTCAATATCGCGGTATTCATAATCAATATCCCTCTTCAATTTCTATCATTCTTCCTGCGTCGACTTTCAACTCTAAACTTCCTCTTTTGATCCCCTCCTCCTTCCAATGGATTTCTACTAAGTTTATTGCATTGATGGATTCTCGTAGACTCATCCCTTCAGGTCCTGAACACGATGAATAACGAAGTCGAATCAGATCTAGTTTAAAGAAAGGTTTAAGGGACGGCCGTTAGCAATGATGGGCAACGAAAGAAAAAGAGAAGGATTAGTTTTAATAACATAGCATCTAAAATACTGGCCTCAGTAATTATCGGACGCCTAACAGAGAATCGTAAACTGCAAACACGAGAGAATCAAGCTGGCTTCAGACCTGGTCGTAGCTGCATCGACCACATATTCACCATTCGTCAGGTTCTAGAACATAGGCATGCTTACCGGCATCCGACAATGGTGGTCTTTCTTGACTTAAAAGCAGCATTTGGTTCGGTAGACCGAGAGGTTCTGTGGCAGTGTCTGTCATTGAAAGGCGTACCTCAGAAGTACATAAACCTCGTGAAGGCTCTTTACTCGGACACTGCTAGTCGAGTGGGAGCTTATGGCGAACTGTCATCTACTTTTGCAACCTCATGTGGTGTCCATCAAGGCTGTCCACTTTCTCCATTTTTGTTTAACTTCATCATGGACCTACTGATGGAAATAACATTCTCGTCTACTGAATTGTCGGGTATTGATCTCCTTCCAGGAGGTCCACTTATCGACTTAGAATACGCAGATGACATAGTTCTGTTTGGTGAAGACGCTGATAAAATGCAGAGTCTTTTGGTAGCACTGAGCAACAATCTCAGGATGTTTGGGATGCGCCTCTCCTCCTCTAAATGTAAATTGTTGCTTCAGAACTGACCTGCATCAACATCTGAACCAATGATAGGGAGTGGGGCAGTCAAACGCATCGACAACTTCACTTATCTTGGAAGTCTGACCAGCCCAAATGGGTTGGTGCCTGAACACCGATTACCACGACGCGCAACGCTGACAAGTGTTGTGGATGGATAGAAGAAAGTTAAGGGCGACCAAACCAAAACGTAGCATCAGTGCTTGAAGTCACTAACTTCTAGTTTGAGCCATGTTGATAGATTCGGTCTGCTTGGTTGGGGTCCGTGTGACTATCGTAACCGATGCTTGGAGACTCTTGGTGACATGGCTCAGAATCGACAACAATGGTATAGGTGTATAGACTCTTTGTCTTCCCTTAAACTGTGAGATTAAAATTGCTTTTAACCTTTCTGTCTACGAACTAATTCTTTCTTCCTGTACTATATCCTTATATGCAATCTTTCTTTTATATATTACTACCGTTGAAGTAACTACTTCTATGAATTTGTTGTTCACCTTGTTATTCTAATGAGGTGTGGGAACTTGGACCGCGTATATATATATATATATATATATATATATATATATATATATATATATATATATATGCCTGGTCCTACGTTGTAGCTATCTGACTGATTCGTACTAGGATTTCGGGTGTTCCTATCTGTTGTTACCTCAAACTTTAGAATATGTGAATATTCACCAACTTATAAATGTACTAATTTTTGAGTTCAGTTTGTTTCATTTGGTATTGTTAACGTAAATTTGCTAAATCTTTTTTTACCTGTTTTTCTTCTCCACTTGTCTAAAATTGACACTTACTAGCGATTAACATTTATGACTGTGTACACTTTTTGTGGTTATTTTGATTGATATCATTATGTTTTTCTTGTAACTTCATTTTTTAAATATAAATATTTATTTTTACTAATTGTGTTCTATTTCATCAGTCCTAACTAGCACCTACCAGCACTACCCTTCTATCTTGAAATGTTAATTTCTCCGTTTTAATTACATACAATCATAAAAAATTCTCTGACGATATCATGTGAAATAGTGAACGTTGATGTGCGGCCATTATGTCTATTTGTCATAATACTTTATTTTGATCAACAAACCTCTATACTTATAGAGACTTACTCTTGTTAGTAGGTTTCTCATTGTTTCGTGACATTAATTCATACATATTTCTTGCCTCATGTCAATAATTGCTGTTTTCCCATTATCTAAACCTGTTACATTTTATACTGATTTTTTTTGCCAGTCTCTTAACGACCAGCCGGCAACACAGGGATCAATTTCAGGATCTTCACTTCGTACCATTACTGCTTCACATCTGACTCGTCGCCTACCTGGAACTCTTCAGCACGAAGAACAGCCCGGTTCTCTTAATATCAATGGTCCATCCTCAGATCAAAATCCAGAGAATCTGCATATTGGACTAAGCCTTACTCCGGACATTGTAAGTTTTTTCTGCCTATTGTTCCTTTGTGTTCATGTCGCTTAGAGGTATAAATTATTTATTTAAATAAATTTTTATTGATACTCTAGACATCTTACAGATACTGTATTTTCACAGGAAGTGGGACTCACATATTTGCTTATCTTTACATGCTTTTAATTAATGAAATTGTAAATTATTGCTTAGGGAGGAAAAAGTACTTTCTCTAATGAATCTTTACATAATATTGATTTTTAACGAACAGTACGATGTTTATATAACTTTGTGTCACTATTCAATCATTATTCTGTCTTTCTTTTTCGAATGATTATCTTGCTCGTTCATTAGATGTATCTTTTGTACTTACGCCTGTTACCCCTCGTGAAGGAGCATAGGTCGCTCACCAACACTCTCCACCCAACCCTGTCCTAAGCCATCCTTTCCAGTTGCTATTCATTTGTTTCATGCCTGCTTCGGATTCCCGACGTAGTGTGTTATCCGACCTTCCTTCGTATTACTAATTAGACCCAAATATATTTTACTTACTTTTGTTTGCTTTACAATTTATCAAGACCGTAATTAGATTTATGATGATCTCTTAGAATTAGGTGGATATGCTTTACTTTTATTGTCAACCTTTTTCTTATGATTTTCATTCGTTATACACGTTTATAGATTTTTTGCACTAAATGAATAGTTTCTCGTATATTGTCATTGACTAGTGATTTTCTCCTGTAACTGCTACACTAAATATGTTGAAAAATAAGTCAAGTGCTTAATCCTCTTAAATCATCCTACAAAATTCGTGCATAACAAGTATTTTGTTTCCCATTGTCCATGATGTTGGTCAATTTAGCACAGTGATGACAAATATATTTTTTTCTGTAGTATGTTATATCAAATTGTAAAGTTTGACTATTTGTGTCGTGTTTAGCACATAGTATTAGTTATTTGGTTCAGTTAACGTTATATATGTTCTACAACACCACATGATGCTTTTTTAGTGCACATTTTACATTACTATTCATTTTGGTTGAAACAAAGTACAGTGTGTACAACACACTAAGAAACGCTTCTTGAAATGAATTATTAGGTAGGTATGATATGTTTCTAGTGGCAATGAATTAATATCATAAAGATTCGCGACAAACCTTTTATTTACTCATTTGTTTAAAATGACGACTGAACTAGTCATATTGCATACCAGTGCTCATTCGCCATCTCAAGATCAGACAATAGGTGAGACATTATGAAAGAGGCACGCTATTGGAGGAAACCGATCATTTTTGTATTTAAGGTGTCAGCCTACCTGTCCTTGTTTAAGTCAGAAGAACGAATCCATGTGGTTTGTTTCATCTGATATCCCGTCTAACATTTTCTAGCCTTCTCACTTCCATAGCATGTTGTGAAAGCATCTAAGAAGTCTCCATGTGAGTCGGATGTCATGGTACACAATAGGAAGTTGGTGTGTTATCAGCACTATCCTTGATTCTTGTTTTTATTTTCCATCAGAAGACCGTTTTTGACTGAATAAATGCCGTCTTCAAACCTCCCTAAGAGGATCTACAAAAATAATCCCTATATTTTTAAGAAACTGATTATCTATCTATACTACATGAATATCTAATTAACAATTCTTTATCAGTTTCTACTGCTCACGAATTTTCTCACATTAAACTTTTTAACCATAGATTTAATTACTAGCTTTAAGATAGTATTATGTATATTTTTAAGATCCAGACACTATATGATGATCATATCGTTTTTACAGTTTAATTCTGGCTTACCTACTTTAATTTTCCTGGTTAGAAATTATTGTTCATCTTTGAAGGAAAGTTGTTTTTCAGTCTGATATACGAACCTGGAACTACATATAAACAGGTCATATTTATTGTATTATATTTAGTACTATTGATTTTATATTTTTCCCATTGTTTATCTTCTCTATATTAGCAAACGGAAGTTCAACAGCATAAGCTAACACCAAATGAACGACATGATTGTGAAGTTATTGGTTAGTTCAATAATATATATTTTAATTGTTAGAACTTGTAAAATAATGTTTATCTTAATGTTTTGTTATTAGTTTTGGCACTCGATGTCAGCTTCTTATGTTGAATATTTTAAACTATACTTTTAGATATTTAGAGCTCATAGTCGAATCTCAAAATTGGAACCAAGTTACTTAGCTTCATTATAATATGTCACAGTTGAAAGAAGTGTTTTGTCAACTCACTAAAGTGACTAGTTATATCTGTTGTGACTTTAAGTACGGCTAGTTATCACGTGATTTATTCGCCAATCGAAATACGACTTATTCAATCTTAGAACTGTGCTAAACCAATGACGTCCAACCGGTATGATCAGCCTAGCATCCTTATTGGTTCTTTGTTCGCTTAACCCGTCCAATTGAGTCCAGAACATCAATAACAGCTTCCACTATATGAATCATTTATTTCAAACATACTTGGTTTATATACAAGCCAAACAGACTGGATCACACCATAAGATAGGAAATATCATTTATACAAGATCAAGCCAAAATGTGGCTGTGACCGTGGGAGACTGTAATCAATAAACTGAACATAACTTAAGAACAGTAATTCGTAAAATAATAATATATAGGTCAAATATATATATAATATTAGTCCATTAATAGTTCTCAGAAATTCGTATTTCAATCTTCGCTAGGATATAACAGTATCACCAAGTTTTTACTGTTTTTTAAACTTTGAAGGTTCACCATTTAATTAAACTAGTTATAGGTGCTGTACTTCGGGTTAATATCCGTGACGTAAGAATCAGAACACAAAAACGAAAACAAAGCGAGAAGTGTAGAGAAATCTTGTACCGTCTCAAGAAAAATCAAAGTATTATCACAAAATAGTCATATATTTCAGATCAACTTTCTATGAATGACAGGAATTACATAACGTACTGTGGATATAATTTATTAAGGGTAAACCAGTTAGAATTTGAGAGAATTACTTATGATGCTGATGGTTTATATATTCTAATTGTGAAATAGTCACCATTCAATATATCATCTTATTCGTGGTTGACACCCGACAAAACTTGAAAAAAGTACAATATGACTGTTATATGTATTCTAAAGCTATCGAGTGAAGACTACTCACAGTCGACAATTCTTGTTAGCTTGATAAATTTAGGAAATTGACGTATCTGGACCTTGTTAAAATCAATTAGACATGTTAAGTTCTTTTTTCAGAACAAATTTCCCTGTTAAGTGCTTTTTGTAATCAAGGTTAACTGTCAGTCTATTTAATTGCTTAGCTAACAATAATGTAAAGATTTTATTATACAATTTTCTGCTTACGTAAATTCACATAAAGCGTGAACAGCGATCGTAGCAAAATAGCATGAATTCATTTATTCCCCGAAATCTTTTTGATCTCTTACATCTTAGAGATGGTAGTAACGATTATTCGCAATCAGTTTACATACTTTAAACTATTATTGAGGCTTCTGACCACACAATTGAGTGACTTGTAGAATCTGTCTATGAAACTACAAGATTATATGCAATACGGTATTGTTATCATGAAAATATGTTCAATTCATCATAAACTACAATTTGAGCACATGTCTAGTCAAAGAAAAATGTTTCCTAAAATAAATATATTTATTTACAGCAATGTATGGTAACCTAATGGCTATATTGAATTACTGTCGGAGACAATACCAAAACAAGAACAACAAACACAAAAAGTAATAAAACAAACCTTGAACGACTACAATGGGGTTAAAACTCATTATTGCAAGTATTTAGAATATGTGATCGCAATAATGAGTAAACTGAATGTGTAAATATTATACCTCGGATAAAGACACTATGCTATACGTTCAAAAGATATTACGATTGAAACCGGTTACTGAATATTAGTAAGTAGTATAATATTATCTCGAAACGGAATGGAAAAGACATTGCGGAGACAGAACTCACTTGACACCTACTTTGTATTATATTGATGAATTTTATTGAAACAGTCAATAAATATGAAAGGATTATAATAATTTTCAGACGGTTGTTTTTTTAATTAATGCGGAATTTTTTAAGGGAAAATATTTAAAAATCATGAAAATATGCAACTAGAAAATGAAAATGTCAAAAATTAAGCAGTAACGACTGTAAAAAAATAAATTAATGGAGAATTGAATAAGTAGAGCTCATAAAAGATGCAAGAATAAAGCATAAAGATTTGTAATCGAGATCATGCAATAAAATGTTTGATATTCGATTGTGGACATGTTGACATTCCAAAATATTCGAAAATAATCAATACGCAATTAAGTCATTTTTTAAAGTTTTTTTATTGAAGCTCTCTCTATTAAAAGGTTGGGACTGACTACGGTTGTCAGTGTCGTACTTTTATCCTGATGATTTTTTATTGTTGATTTATTCAAAATAATGATGATATTACTTCTCATTCAGATACTATCACCAAACATTTTATTAGTGTCTCTTTTTTCTCCCTTTAGGGAAACTTATTCGTTCCTATTTTCTAATTGTTCGAAAGAACATACAAGATACTGTTCCAAAAGCAATAATGCATTTTTTAGTGAATTTTGTTAAAGATAATTTACAATCAGAACTTGTCGGTAAATTGTATAAACAAGATGAATACAATACATTGTTACAAGAAAGTGAACGAGTAGCTCAGCGCCGAAGAGAAGCTTCCGAAATGTTGAAGGTAAATAACTCATAGTCTACATAGTCTGTTAATTCAATAACTATATGTACCAACTCATTTATAAAATAACACCTAGTATTAGGATTACCCTATACACCTACATCTTCCTTTATAATTACTTTTATAAAAACTTTTGAATTCATGATTTTGCTTTCGCTCAATCAGTATTTGCCTGCTTATTATTAGAAAGCGGATATATATATATATATATATATAACATGGAGTTATAATGAAAAACCAATCGATAAGAAATAATTCTCTGTATTCATGTTTTTCTAAATAGCAGTTCATACTATTCCGTAAATCTTTCCTGCTCCAAACCGTAGGAAGTAAAATGCAAATATAAACTGGGTTTTATATTTGTATGACAATATCTTTTAGTTTATATGCAAAAGAAATCTGATTTGATTCGTACTAATATACTGTTTAAATTTCTTCTTATAGGCTCTTCAGAAAGCCAGTATGATCATCGGTGAAATTCGTGAAACACATTTATGGTGATTAAATATTTCAGTATCATTGTTTGATTTTCAACAATAACAATAATTTACGTGTTTCGTTATTTCCTTCTTGTATTTCTAATATAATTTTTCGTTAATTAAAAGTATACATGTATGCTTTTAACCGAATCATACTACGTGTGTGTATACATCATTTCTTTTGTGCCATTTAATCAACTATATCCGTCTACATTTTGACTGTTATTTCGAAGTTCTTATCTGTTGTTATCTATGCTACCGTTACCACTAATACAACAACTAGCCAACGCACACTAAACTCAAGTATCATCTTATAAACTAACCTAGCATAATAAGCGAACTATAAAAGATTTACTGTTTAGTAGTTTATAAGACTGATTATCATTCTGCAATGTCTTATTGTTTTCTTCGTAGGTTCCTTTTGTTTGTTATTGTGGTTTTCTCTTTAATTGTAGAAAAAAATGTACATCTCTCCTAACCTGTGTTTGTAAAAAGGCTTTCTATATTGTAACTGTTCTGCTATTGAGAATGTAATTATCTAAAAGAGCTATTATACATTTCTAACACACTCAATGATCTTAATTCTGCTAACTTTTCTCCCCGGTTTATTAATTATAAGCAGTCCATTTTTAGTTATACTTATTATGTATTTTCTGGGAGAGAGGGTATATAAATTGAGGTCAGTTGACATGATATCCTTTATAGTACTGCCGTGTCTTAATTTTAACCCGCATAGTCCGATATCCGCGGTAACTTCAGAACCAGTTCTGCAGAGGTTGAAAACTGTAGTCTTATCAATGTTCAAATAGTAAATTCGGATAAGCTATGTAGATGATGCATTCGTCATTCACTTTAAGGATCAGTTGGAAAATATCCACAGTTTCATCAACGGCATCTTCGATAACACGAAATTCACGTTAGAAGTGGAATAAGACAACAAACTACCATTTTTTCACATATTGATCATCAGAAAAAAATATTACTTACTTACTTACTTACGCCTGTTACTCCTCGTGAAGGAGCATAGGCCGCTCACCAGCGTTCTCCATCCAACCCTGTCCTGGGCAATCCTTTCTAGCTCCGTCCAGTTGTAATTCATCGTTTTCATATCTGCTTCTATTATCCGACGCAATGTGTTCTTTGGCCTTCCTCTTTTTCGCTTCCCTTCAGGATTCCAAGTTAGGGCTTGCCTCGTGATGCAGTTTGGTGATTTCCTCAATGTATGTCCTATCCATTTCCATCGTCTTTTCCTAATTTCCTCTTCAGCTGGAAGTTGGTTTGTTCTCTCCCACAGAAGGCTGTTGCTGATGGTATCCGGCCAATGGATGTTGAGTATCTTGCGAAGACAGCTATTTATAAATACTTGTACTTTCTTGATTGTGGTTGTTGTAGTTCTCCAGGTTTCAGCTCCATACAGTAGAACTGCCTTGACGTTCGTATTGAAGATTCTCACTTTGATATTGGTTGAAAGTTGTTTTGAGTTCCATATGTTCTTCAACTGTAGGAACGCGGCCCTTGCTTTGCCGATCCTCGCCTTTACGTCTGCATCTGAGCCTCCTTGTTCATCGATGATGCTTCCCAGATATGTGAAGGAATCTACATCTTCCAGAGTTTCGCCATCAAGTGTGATTGGATTGCTGTTCTCCGCTTTGAATTTGAGGACCTTAGTTTTCCCTTTGTGTATGCTGAGGCCTACTGATGCAGAGACTGCTGCTACACTGGCTGTCTTCATCTGCATCTGTTCGTGTGTACGTGATAGGAGGGCTAGGTCATCTGCGAAGTCCAAATCGTCTAATTGATTCTGAGCTGTCCATTGTATTCCGTGTTTTCCTTCAGATGTTGAGGTCTTCATAATCCAGTCGACCACCAGGAGAAAAAGGAAGGGAGAGAGTAAACAGCCTTGTCTGACTCCGGTCCTTACTTGGAATGCATCTGTCAGCTGTCCTCCATGCACTACTTTGCACTGTAGTCCGTCGTATGAGTTCCGGATTATATTGACAATCTTCTCAGGAATTCCGTAGTGTCGAAGAAGTTTCCATAATGTCCTCCTGTCTACACTGTCGAATGCCTTTTCATAATCAATGAAGTTGATGTATAATGATGAGTTCCACTCAACTGATTGTTCGACGATGGTCCGTAGTGTTGCAATTCACGTTAGAAGTGGAATAAGACAACAAACTACCATTTTTTCACATATTGATCATCAGAAAAAAATATGGAAAGACTGAAAACTTAAATCTATCGGAAACCAACACATACTGCTCAAATACTCATTTAAAACAGCAACAGTCCACTTGTTCACAAAATAGACTGTATACAAAGACTATTGTAGCACCGCCGTTGCGCCGGGAAATAAAAGAAAATATTTAATGGATTTATTCCAAAAAAATATCTACGCACAAAATTCCAAAAATTGCTTATCAAACGGACTATCCAATACACAATCAACGAGGAAGACCAGCGAACGAGTAAATTTACACTACATAAAGAGGATCTCCGAGATAACGAACAGTGTTAAAACTACTATGTATATAGGTGTAGTCTACGAGCCAAAATAATCACTGCAAACCAAAGGGCACAACGACAAACAGGGACAAGTCAACGATCTACAGTAGAAATTCATAGTTGTGTTTCTTTGAGATACTTCCTACTCTTCCTATGTCGCTAGTCATGATGACCGTTATTAGATAACTCAATTGTGTCTAAATTTTAGCAAGCAATCGTTTGTTATTCAGCTCATCACAAAGACGCAAGCACATAAAGTGAATACAAACAGAAATGCGGATGCGAGCGACTGAATTAATAAATAAATAAATTAGTTAAGTTAAGCTAGCAAGGGGAATGTGTAGGCTGTGACACATGATTATAATAACATAAAGGTAAAAACGAATTGTTGCTAACCGGATGACAGTCTCACATAATTTAAGCCAATGGTTTAGGAGAATTAAAAGTATATTGAGGTGATATGTTATAAATTGCAGCTACTGCTACACGCTATGGGATAAAAAGGCCACCGTCTTCGTTTACGTCTACATGAACACCAGTTAGTGACGCTACGTACCTTCGCTTATATCAGTTGATAGAGATGTGGGTTCAACTGGGACAGCGTTGAAATATTGTTCAGAAAAAATACAAAGAAAGCCGGGTGTTAAGTTTGTCCTACATTGTTCCTACACGTTCCCTTTCTACTCTTTTGTATATTGTTTTATACTACTTATTTACATTCAGTAAACAGTTGTATTCCCAACAATTTTCAAACTTATGTTGTAACTCAAGTTGTACTGTAACATTCTGAAATGTTCACATATATCTTTAACGTTTATTGTACTTATCATTGTATTTATCATTATAATTACTGCATCTTAATCGCTGTAGCCGTTATCCACAGTTTTGTGCATTTGTTTAAACTCAGCAGTTTCTATATTGTTTTGCTCTTGGTTCGAGTTTCGGTTGCTCATAAACTGTTATAAAATTTAGACACAGCTATCGGCTGTCTTTGTACTATCGTATGTTATAATTATTCTTTATGTTACTATTACAGGAGGCCTTTGTTATTTTCATTCTTAAAGGACGCGTCTAAACGCCTAGACACATCACAAGTTGAGGTTTGTAACTAAAATTTGTGTATTATTTAATAAAGAACCGCTGTTGTTGACAAATCGTTGTTTCGGGAACTTCGGTTTTGTTCGTATCTCAACCGGGTAACTTGGACGCTTCGATAGATTTAACACCAGGGAATATTTAGAGGCCTGGGACTTTAATCAGGCATCATTCATTAGACATACTCAAACTAGTTGGACCTATCATCCAACAAGAAAAAGGATTAAAAAAGCACCTGGGTCGAAGTTTAGGTCAGGCAAGAAATCAAATATACAAAACAACGACCATAGATATGGATAACAACCAACCAAATTTCAGGTCAATAGAACAAGCTGGTGGTCGATTGAGAAGAAATTCCAAGAGCTTACTTATCTTTGAAGGACGTGCTGATGATGTTCAGAAGAACTATGAATGCTCTACAATCAATCCAACAAGCAAAGATCACAGCAATAACAAATTTCATCCTCAATCAATGTGTTTTAATGTCTATTACTGAGAACTTACCTATATGTACTTCCGTGGAGCTAAGTAAAGCATCAGTCTTCCTAATGAACATCAACTGAAGTATAAAACACAGTGAACAATCTACAAAAATTGTCTCGACATGACATGATAATAATTTTCTAATCTATCCCTATCAGTATAAACATACTAAAATTATACATACACTTGTAGGAAATAAAAATAAGCCTTTAGAGAAGTATACCTATCAAAACGCTATGCATTACTAAGTTTTAAATTTCACAACTCCCAGGAAACTAACAATTTCAAAATTAGAATGATCACAATTGGTGATTTTGATCAAATAAAATAAAAACATAAATGTCACAAAGATATCACACACAATCGATTGATCACTGCGTGGTGATAAATGTCATGTATGTCAAGTACTTCTAAGTGAAGATCGAATAGTATCAACCAAGTTGCAATGTGGCCACTAGTCGAGGTGAATCGAAATTGCGTACAGTATTTTGAGATTAGATAGTGGCTGGATGCAGTCAGTGGTAGAGTGTGTGGTGGTCGGTATTCGATGTAATCATTAAAATTCGTATACAGCTCGTCTTGATAACCGTTCTATATAACGTCCCAACGGTATATTAATCAGAAGACAAATACGAAGTGTTGATTACGTTTATTACGAGACCACACACATATATCCAAATGTACAGATGCGTTAAACAAGCATAGAAGAGTTGTGCTGAAAGGCAAGCAAGCGAGCGAGAGCCATAGCAAAGCAATTTTGACACGTATGGAAGATGGCTGGGAAGCCAACTCCATTTTAGTCAAGCGTTACTCAATATTTATAGTCAGACAAAATAAAGCTACAGACATGTGATTAATAGGATAAGAAGGGCACACTCATATAGGCTCATATAAAACAGTCTAGATTGATAAGCGAATAAATGACAAGGTCAATGTATG